AAGCCACGTCGTCCTTTCAATTTCGACTTGAAAACATATCCATCGCGCACGATCCTGCGAGAAGTCTCGCGAGTTAGTTCCTTGATTTTAAGAGCTAAGCCGCGATTGGCTAAAAATGTTTTACGTCACGGAAATCGTTTTGTCGCTCGGGTTCGCAGACGCTATTTTTCGGAGGGAGAGAAGCGACGACCGGAAATGCGTCTGCGCTTCGCAGGCTAGGTCAAATCGAGAAAGGCGGAAATCTTGCAAAAAAAAAGATACAAAAATATATTTAAAAAATAAGTAATAAGTAATATAAAAAAATGAATGATAATAAATCAATCGCCGAAATTTATTAACCCTCGACAAAAAGCTACACTCCAAAAAGGAGACTAAAATTGACTTTTTCTGTTGACAAATTTAGTGGGTGATGACACATTTTTTGCATAACAACAGTCAATCATAGGGCTAATGCGATTAGTGCTCTCCGGCTCCTTATGTGTATGTAGGCCTAGATTTTCTGTAAGGTAGGTTGAGGTTGTTGTTGGTTTTCTCCCCCGGGTTACAGTAAGCTCATAAATAGACTGATAGCCGCTGCCAGTGGCGCCTTGTATGCTAAGTCCGAGCTTACTGTTAACATGTAAAGAGAGGGCGTCCGTCTTGTTGTCCTCTTATCACCGACATTCATTCATACATTCAGCGAAAGAGAGCGAGAGATGAACAAAGAAGACGAATTTCGTTGAAAAACAACCTGAAAGTTTTATGTCGGTGAGTAGAAAATGAGAAATACTAGCGGCAAGTAAGTTGAAAATGAGCGGCAGTAAAAAAAAACAAAACAGGAACATGGGCCCAAGCAATAAAGTGTTTTTGTGAGCACATACGACATTTCCTCCATAAAACGTGTAACTAAAAACTGTCACGTTGTAGTCATGCAACAAGAAGCGGCAAGGAATTGTACTATACAAAAAGTGTGCTGCGCGTAAAAAAATATTTGTTTGCTAATTAGACCACTTAATTTTGTTGCTGTTCTCGTTGCCGTCGCTGATATAAATGGCACGACCTTATTTTGTTTGAGTAAGTTATAAGTAATTTATTAACGAGAGCTTCGCTTTAAGCCAAATCTATATATTACTAATTGCGAAAAACTTGTTTTCTTAAAGTCATGAGTTACGGTTACGCGATGTCATCTGATAGAAATGAGTGGCTTGTTTATCGGGCTGGATTAAAAAAGCGTCCACCATTTGACGACGACGTAAACACAGATAAGGGTCCAACATTTGACGACGACGAAAACACAGTCAAGGGTAAGTAAGTATTTTGTGAAAGACGAATGAAGTTTTGTGATCATATCTATGAACTTCATCCATACCTATACCCAGAATTAAACTTTAAACTTAAATTTCCCGCCCGTTCATGGTCCTTGCGAGTTTATTTCCCATACCATCATAAGTCGTTCGCCAAAAATAATAATTCTGTTTTTTCTCTCAGTTTTTGTGATTAGTCTTTAGTGACAAAACATATATGGACGGGTCGAACCTGCTGCCCTTTCCACCCTTTTCTTCGCGTCTTTATGTTAGATGTGCAACTCTTAATAACATCATCCGTCCACATCCACGCTCCTTCTTTATTTCCCAGGTATTCGTAAGGGATTTTGGTTGGCCTTTGTCGTTTTTATCACAGCGAGGAAATAGTCTGGATAAGGAAATGTTCAGAAAAGAAAAATCGTGATAACACATTACAGCATACGGTACTGTAATTCTGCTGTCTACGAATTCGAAGCCCATCTAAACTTCTAAAGTAATTCGTTCTTCTTGGCACGAAGTTCTATTGTTCACGCAGTCGTGTGCCTACTACATGCACACACACTGTGCATAACGCACGTTATAAAACACCAAGATGAGTGGTTTGCATTTGTGGAAACAGCAATTTTTCCAAAAAATCTAATTCTAGGATGTTAGTTTCAAAAAATTTCCTAATTGTCTATGCAAAACTAAACCAACTGGGTCATAAAATATAGCCCCTTGTCTTAAGCAGGGTAGCGAAATGCGCCAAATTTTTGTCTTAACCAGGGTCGGGGTATGAAGGCCTCGACGGCATACTTCTATACTTAACGTCTCCCCTGAACCCGATAATTTCACTTTCGACTTAATCTCCCATCTCCCTTCAGGGTGGCAAAGAGGGGTACCTATCACGCACCATGCCGATTTTATCACGTATCACGGAAAAATGAAATAAAATCATTTGATATGAGGAAATCAGCGGTCGAGGAACGAGAAAAAAGGCCAAGAAGTTGGTGCCATAACTACCTATTTTCATGTTTCTGCTTCTAGTTTCAAATTATATTAACCATCACGGAAATTTCAAAGGAAAATCACTCGTCACGCATTGTGAAAATTTTAAATCACGCATGACGCTACTATGCTGAATCACGTCTCACGCGGCTAATTTGCGCCCGATCACGCATCACGCTGATAATTTGGGTCCCATCATCCATCACGGAAAACCCCTTTGCCACTCTGGCCCTTGAAACTCCTGCCACGTACAGTGACGGGGACTCCGAAGGATGATGAGAGGGAGTTATTAATAATTTTATCTTGTTTCCAGTATGGCTAGTCACGAATCGGAATTTGTACTATCCGCTTCACCAAGACTGGTATCGAAAGAGACAACTAACCGTACGAACAAAACCAGATGTTTGTTTATGGCAAACTAAGGTTACTAACTCAGAGAACTTAATCGTCGAAGATCATCCGAAGTTTCGGGGAGTTTGCGTGATTCAATTAAAAAAGATAGTTGAAAGTTAACTGTGTTAAGTTCAGTTAGATGTAAAGTATCCATGACGTAGAAGCAGCTCAGTATGGAGCTAACAGTCAGGCGAGTTTTTTTTTCAGTGGCTGTAACTTCCTAACTTGGTTTTACAAGGAGTCGACTGGTATGGGCTACATTATATGGTGTAGATAAAAGTTACAGAAAACGTGATTTTTTTTTCCCGGTTTCCACGGATGATCGAAAAAGTCGTTGCCGTTTTTGGATTTTATCACTGTTGTGATCCTGAAATCTAAAAAAAACTCCCTTGAATACAAATATATCTAAAATGTTTGGTTGAAGTTTCCAGTTGCTCTTACAAACTGAAGCGGGCCATATTAAAAGTCAACACTGCTTTTTGCTTTCCTGGAGATTGCATTAGTTTTACCTTCTAGTGGACGTAAACTTTTAGTTCGTTAGCGCTGTTCTGATAAAATATAGGAAAGAAACTGCTTCGTTTTCTTCATAGCATTAAATGATAATTCTTCCTTCCTGCAGTAGACACCATGACCAGTGACTTTGACTATAAAGTCCGGAAAAGACTAGGATTGGAACCAAGAGAGGACGAAGGACCTTTATTCTCTCTTGATTGGAACCTTCTCCTCGTCTTTAATAAGGTGTAGCCGTTTTGGGTATAAAAAAATGAAACTTCGGTATACAGTATACAAATTTCCTCCTGTGCTTTATAATCACAGAGCGCCAAGAAATCCACAGCCTCTAAAGGAGAAGAAAAAAGAGAACTCATCTCAGAATTAAGGAGATCATTAAAGTGGGTTAAAACAAGTCCCTTTGAATGTCAAAGAGGAGTGTTACTCATAAGCTTTAGTATGCTAGTGTACGCCATAAATGTCTACTTGGATGACAACGATCCAAAAACCCCCGAAGACTTTAATTTCCAGGCGGAAATAAAGGCTGCAAGCCACTGGGATTGGTTGGATGACGAAAACCGATGTCTTGAGCTTGGGCCTTACGATGATCGTCGCGTAAAATTAGCTGCGGAAAGACATTTCATAAATGGGTTGAGGAACTGAATAAAGAGAGGGAACCGCCGTCAAAAAAGTCTAAAGAAGACAGCTGCTCTTCTGATGAGGACGAAAGAGTGTCAGGTAAACAAGCGGGGGCGTGGTCTCTTCCTACAGTGAAAACTCTTTCAGCGGTCTGTTTTAGTAATACCGACTTTTAAAGGGGCTTTGCCCCGCGGATATTGCTGTTTTAGGTCAGTTCTGTGCTAAGGCATAACAGTCAACTCTCTCGTAAATGACCATCCTTGTGTGCACGAAAAAGTGGTTGCTTACGGGCTGCTATAAGTTCAAGCTGAACTGATTAACATAGTTACATAACGTTATTACCTTGAAAAGGTGGGTTGTGAGGAAGACATTTAACAGATGTTTTAAGCACTAACCATATAATAACAACAGATGATCAGATAGTGATTTTTGAAGGTATAGCACAAGGGAAAATGCATTATCTCTTACATAGCATTAAGTGACTCGATGAGTTTTTTTCCTCGGCTGCCTCACTAGAAATTTTCAACCTTGAAGAAATACACTTATACATGATTTCCGCGAAATATTAATGTTACATGCACTCTAGCGATAGATCAAAGTTTGATATGTGGTTAGAATCGTGAAGATCAGAACATCCCTAGCAACGCGACACTGCCATGGGAAACTGTTGTTATTAGGTTTTTGCTGAAGGAAACGAGCTATTTAGAACAATCGCTTAAAAGTATGAACACTGTACATTATAAGTAGCCCTTTGACCAGGTTCGGTTGATTTCTATTGGACCATTATTTTGGGAATTCCATTTGCTGCGAACACAAGCCTTTTTAAAAGTTCAGAAGATCAAGCTTATTAAGGGAAGGCAATTAAAAAGCGTTCTTTCAGAATTTTACCCAGGAGATAGTGTCCCAAGTCAAAAACAGGTATCAGGTCTTAATCATCATTGAGTCCTGTGAGCCAATTTGTGAACCAATTGAAGGCGTAAAGTTAACTGTTGGGGTCTCATATATCTCGTTTAAGGGCGTTTTAATGTGGCTAAATTGTAATTTAGGCAAGGTTAACCTCAATGCTGGTCAGTGGTAGAGCCCCAGGCAGACAGGCTTGTGTGGGGTCGTGGCGTCGGGGTCTGCAGGGACTTGCATGTGAGTGCATAACTCAGCTCTGCTTTGCTTTGCTGATCTTTGCAGATCATTGTGAATTCACGGCTCAAGAGATCTGCTGGTTCTGCTTCCACTTCCCCCTTTCTTGGATAGATAAGTACGGGCAGTGATGAGAAATCCACTGAATGTTTTTAGTGGGATGTTACTGGCTGGTTGGTGCTCGGATGGTTGCCATGGTTACCTCTAAACCAATGCTGCTTTTTGCATTCCACGCTCTTCCATCTTTAAGGCACATGCTTCCATGCTCATCTTGTTATTAAACAATTTTTTCCTGTTGTCGGTTGCTTCTTTGGATTTAGCTGGCGAGAGACTGCCACCTAAAATTATACATTGAACAATGTCAGTGACACAATGTTTAGTTGAATGTGCCACGGTGCTCTTTTTGGCGTTTTGCAAAAAAATGCTATTATTACTACTCCTAAACTAATTTGATACTAATTTTCGAAAATACTTGCTTGATAAATTTCTTTTTAAAACTTGCCATTATCAAGATTCAAAAGTAGGTTGAGTTTGATCGTCCGGGTGAACGTAGTCCCGAATAGGACTGTTGTTGTTGACAGTGACTGACGTTTCGACAACCTGTGGCCGGTAGTCATCTTCAGAGTCAAAGTGAGTTGTATCACGTCAGTTGGTGGTATTATACTCTGGTTATTGGTCTGATTGGTCAATTACGTCGCGATGTTATTGGTCGTCTGTCAATTAACCCGTGACGTTACTGGCTATGAAGACTCGTAATCAGTAATTGGTGCCTTTCGATCCGTCTATTGTTAGTCAAATTGTCAGTTCTTCAGTCGTTCTCTCGTAGTTAGTTTTGCTTAATCTCGTCAATAAGTCGTTTGTACGGTGCTGGTAACTGTTGGCCACGATTCAGTGGCGTTTGTTCTAAGTTCGTAAACCAGCTTTCTAAAGTAAGTCGTTGATAGTAGTCTGTAGAATACGTAATTTATGTCGCAGAGTCCCAGTCGATTTGATGTTTCGTCTGTAAATGGCGTTTAGCAATGTGATTGTTGACATCACCATTCGTCGTCACTTGTTTGTGTTCGGTCAGTCAAACAAGCGACGAGGAATGGTGACGCCCTGACCAATTTTTCGAAAAGTCCTTAGGTGACCCCCAAGGCACCGGTTGAGGTCGTCACACTGTAATATTTCGCCTTTTTTATAAACTGAAATGAATGCTGATTGAATTGTTTATTTGCGTTCTTTTTTCTTGAAGATCTTGAGGAAGGAATTTTTGCCTTGATGATGTAATATGATTTTGAGACAAAAAACAAATCATCAAATACGTGTCAGTCTACTGCGAAAAGCGAAAGGTAAAACGTTGTGAGGACTTGTTGCCGCTATACATGGCACTGTGCTAGGAAAAGTCTCCATAAGTTTTGCTTCACATGTAACATTATTTATATTGTTCTTAAACTTGGTCTCGTCTTTAAAACAGTTTTCATGATCATCATGTTTTTCTTGCGACTTGTAAACACCTATATTTTCAGGTACCAACTGCACTCTTTCCCCCACCTCTATATCTAGAAAAGGCTTGGAAAAATAGCAGTGTCATGTGTTATTTGAAATCACGTTTCATGTGTTTTTTTCGTTGTAGTTCCATTTGGAAGCAAACTGTTCTAAATAGCATTTAACAAAATATGTGTATTTAATTAGGTTGTCTTGCTTCAAATGCAAGTCAGGGTCGGCCAGGGTTTTTGGGTATACGGTATACAGGGGCTTTTTAAATCGGGTATACGGTATATTGCAGCTTAAATACGGGTATTCGGTATATCACTGTCTTTGAATTTCGGGTATAAAGTATACCTGGGTATTTTGGGGTATTTTGGCGAATTTTTTGGGGGTATACTGGTATACCGCTACGCCCCCTGGCCGACCCTGGCAAGTAGCCTGAGAATGGTATAAATCTTACTCTTGAAAAAATTCAAACTCAGCAACACAGACCTTCACCGGCGGTACCAGAGGAGAAAGATAAGATACAGATACACTAAAATCTTAGAAACTTTCTGTTGCTAAAAGTCCTGACTTGGATTTACTATTGTTTCCAATGCATACTTGCTGTTTTGCTTCTCAAATTTTCACACTGGCCATTGAGATTGTTTTTTAAAAAAATCTTGTGATATGGCAGAAGCCTTGTTTTATTCCGCCATATATACGCCTAAATCAAAAAAGGTTGCTTTGGTCATCGGTCATTGGGTATTCGAGCGTATGGAACAATGCAAAAAAGATTTACTTAAGTGACCACCAAACAATAGCTTTCCAATGCTCAATGCCCAAAGTAACCTTCATTGAATCAGCTCAGTATACACTGCACATTCTTGTTCAACGTTTTTCGAGTTTTATTAACCTTATCAATAGCATCCACCCATTTACCTACACAGGAAATATCAGGAAACAGACATGGAACCAGTTAAGTCAGTGGCGGCCACTGCACAGTGAAAACTTAATGACGGTTGTTTGTTCGATGTCCTCGAGATCCAGAACGCAAAGCTTCACTGGGAGCTTCAAAGACCAGCTTGGGAGAAATGGAGAAATTTCTGTGAATGTTAGCATTAGCAAGTTTCGATAAACTATGAAAGTTCACACGGAGAGAAACCACACTCTTATTCGTAAACTGCAAATGGGAATTAAATCACAGGGTGCAGAGGAGTTATTTGTTTTTTGTTGATTGTAGTTAAATTTTTAACGGTTGATACCGCGCATCGCCTTTGTTTTTATACTGTAAAATCGAGCAAACCTTCATCTTACCCTAGTAAACCTGATAAAATATCATCCAATGCTCTGGAAACCGCTGAAGGTAATGACTGCGGACTGAATAACAGTCCTCAGGCAATTTCTGAGTCGTTTGATTAACTTGAGATTCATATTTTAGTGACACTCGGTCTCTAGTCAATAATGGTACACGTGTAATTAGTTTTATTAATTCGAGTTTAATTGCTACAATAGTTGCTTATTTCAACCTACAGTGTCCCCATTTAGTGGTTCCTCCTCTGCTATGTTAGTTTGACACTTAAATAAAGGTATTGATTGATTGATTGTTTGATTGATTGACAATCCCTACTAATTTCGATCAATTTTCCGCCAACATTATTATTGTTGCGCCATGCTTCGGCGATCACGGAACAAAAGAAATGTTGGGAGTTGTTGGCTCCAAGGTTTGACCCGTTTCAAACTTTGCGCAACAACTCCCTACAACAGGCAACAACATGCAACAGGGTGTGCAAACGGACGCAACATGTAACATCCAACAATGCAATGTTGCGTCCGTTTGCAAGGGGCTTTAGCATATTTCTGTCTGGTGGTAACCAGCCTCTTTTGCGTCGTACTTTTGTCTCCTTCTGTTACAAGAAATATTACTTCATTGCTCACTAAAGAAGAGAATCTTGATTACTTCGAAACGATCACGAACAGAGGCGGAAATAATGAGACATTTCATGAAAACTATTGAAAATGAATCAAAAGCAAATCATCCTGGTCGTGAAAAGGGAGTAACTGCAAAGTACCTTAATTGTCACTTTGATCGGTATTCCTTAACATACTGGCTGTAGATGTTTGTCTTTCCACCCAGTTCACAAGAAACTGTGCAACCCAGTAATTCGTGGTCTGAAAGTCAAAGTGTGGTAAAAATTTGCGCTGAAAAAGTGCAACAAAACCTCACACGTTTCGAGGGTACTCCCTCTTCTTCAGCTGAAAAATGCGCGCGTAACTTAACAACAAAATATGTATACATCAAAACGTAAATGGGAGACGCCTAGGTGACAGATTTAAAGATTATTGAATCTTCACACGGTTACCTGACACAGGTCTCAACGTTAGCCACCATTTTTCATTCCTGGGACACACTGGCGTGGACATGTTGGTCTGTCTCTGGGCCTCTGTGATCCCTTTTGGCTTGAGGAGGCGCAGTTTCATTGAAGCTAAGATGAGATATTCATTACTGGACATTATACTCAGGTGACTGTAGAGGCCGAGACTACGATCCCTCCAATTCCTAACAATGATCAACACTCAATTTCTCTCCCCCCAACTGTTTTCAAGCGGTCACAAGAATTAAGTAAGTTATCACACCAGATTAATCCTCTTTATATCTAAAAAATATACCCTCTACTGTTCTACCTCCACGGGGAATAGCAGCAGAGGCCTGCAGTTGTCCCTGGTTATCGGTGGTCTCTTTTTCTCCCGCCCGCCGAATACCAGGCAAAAGAGGCCTCTGCTAGCAGGGAACACGGCCGGTGACGCCTGGGAACGAGGAAGATAATCTGTGATGCAAATTCATCCAGCAATGAAGATCATTTCCTTGTTTCTTTCTTCTGTTTTCAGGCTCATTACAAAAAAAAAATCTGACTGATTCCATAACACTTTTAAAGGCGCAATAAACCCATCTTTACTACGAAAATGTCCATCAAGAATTGCGTGACCGGAAATGTTTTTTCATGCAGATCACGTGACCTACTGTACAAGCAATTTCCGAAAAATAATCAAAAATCCGTTAGCTGAGTCACGATATTAAAAAGAGATCACGCGATTAAAAATGACAGGAATAGGCATTTTCCAAGCTTCGTTTTCACTCTGTGAAGCAACAAATGGAGCCTACACAGATGTTTAAGGTATTGAGTGGTTGGTTGTCAGTACGTATTAACGAATCTCAATCCTCGTTTGATCAACGAGTATATGCGTCGACCCGACGTCGATGGGTTCCTGATTAGTCATCATGCAATCGTCTGGACTCCCTATATCTTCGTGGAAAGCGAGATCGTGTTTTGCACTGTTATTAGTTAATGCGCTTTTGATCGCCGGAATCTTCGTCTCCGCTTCGAGAAGATCAAGCATCGTTTCACTACCTACTGAGACCGTCAAAACAATCGCTCCAAGTGAAGCTCAAATTAATACAAAGGAGCGGAGTACTCTATTACAATCGCTGAATGTGAATACAATTCCAGCGGATATTCGAAACGCGCTCCTAAAAGTTCACGGATACCTGGAGTCACAAACGACTATACACGCAACAGGAACATGCCATTTTGCTTGGAAATTTAACTCGACAGAAAATAACTTGGATCTGTTTGTTTGCAAATAGTCTGATGATGAACCGTTGTGGATGGTGTAATGGAGATCAGTTAGAGAATAGAAAGCTTAATTTTAAGCACCACAGGACTCAAAAGCTTGCAGTATATATATCATTGTGTAAGTATTGTCAGTGAATAACAAGCTGTTGGGAATAACAAAATTCCAATGTTATGCTTATTTGTAATCCCTTTGAAGTACCAGTACATCTTTTATAATATTGTTACCTGGTGTATTCTTATCGTTAAAGAAAACTTTTGTTTTGAACTTGTATAACTTTGACCCATTTTTCCCACCCTGTTCTTTTGTTTGTTAGAGACTAAATTTGAAGTATTTTCTACCTTAAGCACGCTCTCTATCCAAAGTTCACGCACGAGCAACCTGCCATACTTTCTTGGACAATGGAAAACTTGAACCCTCCCCGTCCCTCCCCCCCCCCCCAAATTTGATATGTTTTGGTCTTCGCGCGGCTTGTTCATCCTTGACTTCGGGGGAGGGGGGGCGGGAGGAGGGTCTATTCCATTTTATTCTGTCTAAGATTGTCGGTATGACAATCGACAAGCTTGTTTGCTTGCTCTTTAAGGAAATGCCTAAACAAATTCTTGTATAATCCACACACATGGTACAGTGAGTCGGGAATGAATACAGGTAGCCCATGCTCAAAATACGAGCTCCCGCATTGTTGTGTTTCACCTTCGGAATATGAGGAGTTGTATGGGAAATACCTACGAATGTGAAAGGATTTTTAAAAAATCGACTAACCGTTACCTACGTTGTGTGTTTTGTCGTCCCTGTGTGGTTCCCGAGCAGATTTACAGCCATTTTGTGGGTTTTATTGGAACCGGTTTGATTTCTCTATCATCCTTTACATTCGTAGGTCGGGCAAATCCTTAACTTACGCGGCAAAGCCGACGATCATACTTCTGAGCTTGGGCTACCTGTGTGAATACCTGTTCAGAAAGAGAGATAGGCTGCTAGAAAATTGTGTGAAGGGGAGGAGGTTTTTGTTTGTTATTGTGGCAAATATATTGATAATAACTAAATGAATAAAGTTTGCTATGTGGCTCCTTCGCCTCTTCGCGTCACCACGTAAGAAACCGTAAGCCATCAAAATGCAAAGTGCGATTCTCAAGGTGACGTTTCCATATTATTAGAGGGATCTCACAGAGATCTCGAGAGAGATCTAGAATCACGTTTACGGCAATTTGCACCATTTACTGTTCATTATACATAAACAAAAATAAGAAGTTTCACGCCTGTTTCTAGTCCAAAAGACTGAATTACTTTGGACAGTTTTGATGTGCTTGGTGTATATTAATGAGCTGTTACATCATTGCGCTCCCTGTCGTTCTCTTCTTTCTAGTGATTCAACCTCCTATCTATCCCCAAGACTACTATAGTGACTTACGGTGATGGATCTTCTGCAGCAATTGCTCCGAAGTTATGGAATCAGCTACCGCTGTTGATAGTTTTAAAAGGGGCTTTGAAAACGTATTTCTTTCGTGAGAGCTCTTTCTTTTAGTTGTAAAAACATCGAGACATTGAAATGTAGAATGCGTTCAGTTTAGTATTATTATTATTTTTTTTTTTTGAGAAATTTTCAACTTAAATCTGACTTTTTGAGGTTGCCACAAACGTGATTCTAAGGCCCGATCCACTCAGCAGAGGTTTTGCTTCTCGTCTGCTTCGCATGAAAGGCCTCGTTACACCATGGTAAGTCATTGCTACAGGAATCCGTTTTTTTTTTTTAACTTTTTTTCACGCGAATCAGCCTCAAGTCGACAAGAAGTTTGTGAATCCGCTCATTGATTAGCAACCTAGTCGTGTAAAAACACTGTGCGGATTTAAGAGATATCCGGATTTGTGTGGGCTAGGCCTCAATGGGGTGACCACTAATCCCTGGGAACTATATATTCACCAGCTGTCAGATCTGCGCTGCTAACTTGTTCCTGGAGTGTAACAAAATGTTCGTGCTTTCTCTCATTTTTTTTGTTCATTGCTTTTTATTTACGTACAGTTAGCCGTAGTATTTTGAGTCAATTGATTTTCAAGAAACCAGTGGTGCAATCGTTTCTTCTGTCGTCACACAACGACAGAAAGGAAGCCGATGCGTGCGTGACGAACTGAACGCCCCACGCGTCAAGTTAAGGCATGCATGATATGCATGCACATAGGACACATAAGGTCGCATCGCATAGATCGAACTTGGCCTTCGTCGAACGCTTTTCATTCCTAGAATTTTCTGTGCATTGCCCTCATTTAATTCGAAACACTTTAGAAGATGCATCATCTTTTGACCAAATTCTGTGATCAGGAACAATTTTTTTAGTCTCAATTGTTTTTCCCCAAAAGCAGTTATATAAGGCGCAGTTCAAAACATCGCATATCACGTGAATTTTTAAATGCTAATAGAAGCTATTGTTCTTGCGCATTTGCATTCGATTGTCTAGATCACTTGTAAAACAGACATAAGTAAAAGAGTTCACAATTGTACCGCACTTGACTCGCCGTATCTTTAATAATATTAACCCTCCAGTATAATACTTGTCTAACACACGTTAATTATAATACAAGAAAAACTCTAGCTGTAAATTTACAATCAGTACAATGTATGATACGATATTTACATAGTAAAATATCTCGGATCGTATTACATAATTTGCTCATGTACACACTGACAAAGCAGGTTTTCAATGAAATATCTTTACAGCTTTCACTTTCAGTCTCAAACTGTTTCAATTCAAATTAATTTCTCTAATTTTAATGTACCAGTCCTCAGGCAAATTCTGAGTCGTTTGATTACCTCGAGTTCATAATTTAGTGATGCTCCTTGCTAATGTCGATCAATTTCCCGCCACGAAATTTACATGAAACAAACATCCTAAAACATTAGGCCAGAAGGAATTATTTCTGGCATATTAATTCTCACTTATTAAAGACTTCTCCGTTTTCAGAACATAAATTTTCCTCTTGTGGCTCAAATCCTAAGAAAATCTTGCCGAAATTGCTGATGATGTTTTGATACTGTAATCTACCAGCTGCTGCAAAATTTATTCAGTAAACGAAAATTTTGCACATCTGCAGAAAAGAAGGAAACACAGGCAACTACGTCAATCCCGACTAAGGCGAGGGAAAATTCATTATCATCGCTGTTTTACCAGTGACTTATTTATTTTATAGCGGAAGTGGTTCTGTAAAGTCCTGCTTGCCAAATACGAAACCGCATTCGGATGGTGCGTGCAAGATCGCACCGTCGTTTGAAAGAAGAGCAAGGACGAAAATTAAAATTTTATCCAGGTGGGCTCCTGCAAGACACATTAGTTTGATGTCCAAGATTTAATTGCAGCAATCAAGTTCTACTTTTTACGAAACAATCCACGATTTCACCTGCTACGGAAACAACAAACAGGAACTCTTAATGCAGTTCATTTTTTTCACGGCCGCTTCTAATCCCCATGAGATAGTTAAATGCCTGTTGTTTTCAAATCGCAAACGCAAGACGCATTTCCACTCGGACTCCACGTCTGTAAAACAGACCTTGAAACCGGTCGTCAAATGTCTGGTAACAAAGGTGCAGATCGCCGGCGGTAGATCTTCTTCAGCGAAATAGCAGCTGTAGCAATCTGGTTCAAAAGCGAGTTCATTTCTGTCACTAATCCCTCGGCCTCCTTCTGAGAAGTGTGTTGATTTATGAAAAGTGTGGGATCGTATTTGTTGTCATATCTGTGCAGTTCATTTTCAGACCTCGTCAGCCTCGACTGTAACAGTTCGCATTCACAGTGTCCCTGAACTACAGCGTTCATTTTCCTCCGAGATCGTGGAGCACAGTCGGTAAGACAACACGACTCTGTTCGACCTGGAACGCAGGGGCTTTGCAAGACTTGTTTTGTCTCCTCAACCGCAGCAATAAATTCATCCAAAACATTGAATATATCTTTTTCTGTCGACTCCATGTTTGTGCGTATAGTACGCTCTTTCTGATGGTAATGCGACCCTTTGTATGTATATATTTCTAAAAGCACAACAAACTACGTGATCTTCATCATTCGTGCAAGGCGCTGTCTCATGCAAATGTGGCCTTTGTTTTGTTTGAGGGATGACCTAAGCATTACATAATTATAGATCAACCAATAGGAAAGGGAGAAGCTGTATTGTAATTTTACTGACGGTGATCGAGATTAAGAAAAGATAAGAATATTTTATAGCTAATGGTGAGTATCCTTAAAAAAAAAACAATTCCTGACTATTTCTTTGAATAATCGACCTGAAATTTTCACTTTTCGAGAAAAAAGTCTTGTTTACAAGAGCAAAATCTCTCGATTTTGACCCAGCACGAAATATCCACGACACCTGTCGATAACTTCCATATATGGATTTTTTTTAACGAGCTCAAACAACTTCCTGTAGGTGTCTCGTTATTTACGTCGTGGTTCGCTTAGAGGCATCTTCAAGTATTGGAAAAGAATTGCAATAATCCAATGAAAATTTTCTTCTGGTTCAAATTGAAAAAAAAGGGTTGCAATCATATATTTTGAGAACCTTCTCGAATGAGTTGAACGAATCACTTTTGAAAAGAAAAGAAAAAAAAGAACGGGAAAAACACTTGACATGATAGAGGACCATAGAAGAAGCCTTCCGCAGTTACGTCGACCGACGCAAAACACGTTGGTAATGAATGACTTCAAACATGTCAGAATAAAATTCTGAGAAAAGTGTTGAGTAGAAGAGTGTGGAGATCCTGTTGCGAAATATAGTAGATTAATTTTTTAATGGCTTGCGGGAAGTAAAGGTCACGTTCTCTTCGGTCAATTGCTTTTTTCCTATCACAAATTTATTATTTTGATCCTTAAAACACAAGATGCAAAACAAGAAAAATTGATTTCGAGGAGGTTAGCCGACGACACACGCAGTAAAACTAACTTAACAGAAATGCCATCCTCAAAATACAAAACAACGTCGCATAGAAAAAGTTTAAAGATATTTTCCTGCTACTCAGAAAATTTAACTTGCTTTTTAGTTACAAACAAATTTTGAAACTTCCAGCAGCGCGTAGTTATTTATTCAGATCACGACAGTGCACGTCGGCAGGATTACTCAAATATAATTAATGGATTGTAAAACGTATCAGAACGTATCAGTGAGTTGACCTTTATAATTTCCACTTGACCAGAGATTTCGCTTTCAGCTGAAGGTACTGGTCGGAGTAGGTCTATTAAAGCGCGAGCATGATATCGTCATCAAAATATTCCTTTTAGCACATGTCTGAGTGTCTACCGGCCTCGGATCTTGTAGTGAAAAGTGTAGCTCCTGATTGTGGTAGTTTGTTTTCCTCATACAACCGTTTTCTCTTTAGTTTATCTTTAACTTTTTTAACGAAGGAAAAATAGAGCGAGCCAATCATAGGCATCTTGGCTGATGAGTTTGTTTGAGGCAGTGCGTGACTGTGATTCATGCGGTCTTGAGTAGAGACCTTTGTGTGCAGGCTAGGCGTGAAATGTCTTCCGTTTTTTAGAAAAAATTAAAAAGCTGCCTTGAAGATAACTTATGATTGACACAATAACATCCTCACGTGTTCTGCTTAACACTGGACCATTTTTGCTGCTGCGAAAATCATCGTAGCAGAGATTCTCGGCGTGAGCAGTTTTTTGTACCTTCAGTTAGGCGGAGCCGATCCGCTCTTCAGTAAAAAATTGATACAAGAATAAAAGTTATTTTGTATGGATGAAAACACCAAAAACTTCATAGTTACTTCGTTGTCCTACCTTATATTCATATTATCGTCGGCATCTATTAGACTAATAATTTACAATCAAGTGGTCATTTTTTTTTCTGTTTTGCGGTTTCTTTTTTTAAGTTTAATTGATGGGCGGAAACTTGCGCAATTTCATCGTTGTTATCTGTTTAATTTTTGATGACAAAACCGCAAAAATAAAAATAAACTAACAAAGCACACAACTGAGTAAAGATGACTAGTGTATACTAAGCTAAATGAACATTTTATGTCATCAACGAAATTAAATATTGTTTAAGACTAAATTTTCTCAGCAAAAGAAAAAAAGGAGAAGTCTGCAGTGTTTTCTAGTCAGCTCTGCATGCTGAGCACGCAGTAGTCGACCTTGCACTTTTGCCCACGCGTGCGTGTGTGTGGTTGTAACATTCATCACAAAGTTGCGATTGGGTCGATAAAGGTTTAAAAATAGCTGAACACGCGCAAATAAGCAAATTATTCGAGTGTAACACACATGCAACTGCATAGATATTTGCACGAGCACGTGAGTGCTGATTATTCAGAGGCTTCATCTGAAGTAACTCTGAAGTTATGAAAGTGATAAAGTCATTTAATATTTATTCTTTGAGCAAATGAGAGAGAAAATATAGGCCAACAGAAAGAAGGCATACCAAAACACTTGATCGAGGGTCTTACATAAAGTACAAACATACATATGCTGCTTATGAGCTACAATAATAGCGAAACAGCTGTCACGCTATGGCTACAATCCCGCTCTGTTTGAGTTCTTTCAGTGTCGTGTTGATGTCTTGCAAAGTTAATTTTCACGTAGTACGATCAACATTGCAGTATTATGCTTGCAGAATTTAAAATGTCTATTTGATATTTTTGCTGATCAGGTCTTTACGTTCTTCGGCATATATGTTTGCGGTCCTTTGCAGTCCTTTGTGGTTTGGTTTGTACTGGCTGAAAAAGGATCACACTCCCGGCCAGCCGAGACAACTTTAGCGAGCGTTTACAAGAGCGAAAAAACAAAGAAAAAATGACTACTTTGCCTGTGAAAACAGCACTTGCAAATGCGATGATGGTCCGAGACAGCGCTCCCGCATGCTCTGATTAGGGACTTTAAAGACGCGCTGGTAACGAGAACGTCGCTTCAAAAGTAAATTTGCGGTCATTCAGTTTTTATCGCAATTATACCTATTTACTTACTTTGTCAAATGTAGGCGAGGCCCTCCTGGAGTTGAATTCGCAGGGACCATATCCAAGTTCAGAAAGCCGAGAAATAACGTTTCTTCGTTGCTTGTTTAGGTACTTCACAGTAAAACGCGAAATTAGGCATTTTCACGTAGTTTTAGTCGTGCGAAATTAAAACGGGCAAAGGAATGTACAAACAAAAAGTGTGATGCACGTGCAAAGGTAACGTTTTGCGTATAAAAACCTATTGTTTATTTGACGTTCTCGTTGCCGTCCGCGTCCCTGGATCTTAAAGTCCCTAAATGTCTCGCCTTGACCGAGTTCTGCAAGTTGATCCCGCTAGTCGAACTATCGTCTTTTATATGGAGAAAAGTTGACCCGGCTTGGAAACAAAAGGGTTACACGGCTAGGCGGGCCACCCTTCTAGCCTAGCCAACCTTTTTGTTTCTCGTGTAAACGGTTCGCCACGTTTTGTAAGGAAATGTTTTGAAAAGATGGCTCGCCCAGGGAAGCTGGTACGGGGGCGAGCCTTCAAACCGGGACAACTTTCTTTTGTCCATAATAACCGGCGCGGCCTTAGGAAAGCGCTGGTGTGTGCGGTCGAAAGTGTACCCATCTCAGTGCTCGTTCTAGTCATGCGCTGTTTTTTGTGTCACTACTGGAAATTAAATGAAATCATTCAATACATAAATCAATAAGAAATTCAAATACTCTGACAAACAATCTACCTTAGGTTCAGATCAGTATACCTTCTGCCAGCAGAGTCCGAAAAAAAGCCCACTTGAGGGAATTGTTTGTCCGAGTAATGTTCTGTAATTGACTATTTATTAATTGTATAAAAAGTTCCTCCTCAGATACAAACAGGGGCGTAGCGAAGTATCCGAATGTCGGATAGCGAAGCGACTTCTGATTCACCAAATGATAAAAACGGCGAGACAATGGCGCGCAGCATAGCCAGGTGGAGGTATAAAGCCCCGGTATAAAGCACGCAAATATAATGAAATGTAAGTTATCAAGAACTATTCGACCTTTTCTTAAGTGTAATGCTGCTAAAGGTATTTAAGAGAAACCCTCGTGAGCGTAGCTCTTGATTTTGAATTCTGTTACAACAGACGTGAACTTAATTAACAATAACGAGTCAATAAATGTTACTGAATCAGTATTTAACCTGCAGTTTTGGATGTTGTATGTTTGGATGTTGTATGCAGAAATTTAACAATTTAGTTACATTGGCAATTTCTTTATGTGTAGCCTAACGGCTTCACAATTGTAATATTCACAGCAGTCTTTTATCCGATTAACTTTTTTAAGCCCCTGGGAGTGTCACAAACAAAATTGTAAGCTGCAAGGAAATAGCTGGAAATTACGAAACCATTGCCGGGGAGGTCCGTTTTATTAACTAGGGGACCTGGTCCACTGATTCGAAAGTTGGAACCTTTAGGTTTCTACCTGATTCATTCTGGATTAAATGCCGGTACTCTTTAGAGGCTCTAAGGGGAAATTAGACAAATTCTAATCTTTCTTTTGCTAAATACAAGCCGCCAAGAATACCGTGACCTATGTTATCTTTCAGAACGCTCAGTAAAAGTGGCACAACGCGGGATATAACATGGGAGGCTCTGCATAGCAGAACCAAACAAACTTCTTCTTAAACTCTCGTATTAAACCAGCTAATTCTTCTTAACTGAAGCCGATAAAATCAAACTGATCATTCCTTTCATAACACATTCAAATACGCCATCATGTGTCAGAAGTTTCTAGTACAAATCCTCAAGACTTTGCGGAAACTGGCTTGTCCCATGACCGATTTCATGCCGATATATTACAAAATAAAAAGTATGCGAGGAATGAGCGTTGTAATAGTCGCTATTGTGAGGCGCTTTGTTTCATAGTGTTTGGTTTACAATGACGATTCTCTTGATTGTATGGGTATCAAGGTTATTTTTGTTTATTGCTTCGTCTAAACAATAGCTCTGCCATCATGCTTTTGCACGAAATGAGGGGAGCTTGAGTGATAAACGGACAAGATCTATTCTAACATAGTCACCTCTCGAAACATCTACCTGCTGCCAGCGTTTTTGCTACCTCATTTGGACTGATCAATTAGTTAAAGGTAAGGTGACAGACCCAATGTCGACCGTTGGTTTTAGTGAACACGACGTATGCAGTAGGCACCAAGATTATCATATCATTCCAGTCTGCAAATATCAAAGAAATCAAGCGTGATTATTATTTCAGTTCAACTAAAGGCTAATACTGAAGCAAGTCAAAAGGATGACACTCTCACATAGATAATCTGAACGTTAGTTAATGGGCTTAAATAGCAGTAATTAAGACGTTCATGGTCCATTGACATGATTTCTGAATAAAGATGAGAATTTAATTGGTGTTCGATCCTTAGTTAAAAATGATGCTTCGTAATGAGTTTCGATGAGTTGATTACATTGTTGATAACTTAAAAGCTGCTTCTGGGTAGATATGATCTCCATAAGTAAATGAATGTCAGTTTAACAAGACTTTCTTCTATTTCATTTCGCGTAGAATTCAAACAACAATGGTAGCGTTTAATTTCTTTACATTATTTGTAGAAACAACTCGAAATGTCTTGATAGGACTCATCGTTGAAGGAGATGTCCTTGCCTAGTGATGAACTGGGACGGTAAAATTCAAGGTAATAATTTGTTTACAGACAGCCTTGGCCTTGATTCTTCCTCATCGTCTTGTATGATGCTAACGCTGTTAAGTTAGGACTGGCCTGTTCCTGGCTTCTGACAGTGGACTGTGGCGGGTGCACAATCTGAAGTAAGAACGCCCGGAACAGGCTCGTTTGGTCAGGTTTCATAGTAAACGAAAACAGTCAATCAGAATACTCACACATTCACATGGGATTATACGTGGGTTATTTTTATAGATAAATGCTCTCAGTACTAGTTAGAAAATGCCATATGCTTTGTCCACAAAGCAACGTAAACAACGTTTAGATATAAGCGGCTGAATTGAAGCCTTATTGAAGTAACTCATAGCAAGGGGTTGGTACCACGGGCTAACGTACCCCTTATCTATAAGATCGGGGCTGGAGCTAACTGCACAGGAATGTTACCTAAGACTATTTCTACACCTGCCTAGCCTTGTGCTATTTGTTAGGACGGTAACTGGTTTGTAACACTTGGCTACAAATATTGTGAATAATCAGTACCATCCGTCATGCTTGCATTTACTGTAATCCAATATATATTTTCTGCGTTGACGTCCCTGTTATAGCCTTATTTGTGTTTATTAAGTCATCATGCCTTTGCCAATTGCCATTTTTTTCCACTTATGATCATAACAGCTAAATGCAGTATGACATTTTCTTTATCGCACGAGGCTGTTATTATTTCGAACGCTTTGGTCTTAAGTAAGTGAAATCGATTTAGTCTTCGCTTTGTTCTCCGAGTCAATTGGATCACTTGGTCACCGAAGATTTTTACTAGAAGTCTTCAAACTCCGCGAAAAAATTATCAGAAAGCTTCCGCGAAAACGTAGTGAAAACTTATATCTGATCGACAACTTTCGCTTTGAAACTCTTTTTTGTTAAAACTAACAATGGACTAAACAAAACCCTTGATGAGTATAACAAAAAAAATAATGGAAAATAGAACACATTTACATATTCTGGCCCCGATGAAAAAGCAAAGCAGTTCGCTGACTAAAATAAGCTAAATATATTTCGCACAGTATTTTCTTGTTTCTTAAATTATTATTATGGGTGCGGCTCGTTTGGCATAAAATCGATGTCAATTTTAAATCATCTTTACCTCTCATTTACTCAAACACATTCTCTTACTGATACGTATAGTGTAGTGGCCTTTTTCAACAGCCCTTCCCTGATAATTAAATAGTGGCTTACCCATGGCCCATTAACGGAAAAATCTAGATGGATGTCGTTTTGTGAAAATAAAATAAATTCTACCGGCATTTGCATATATGACACGCGTCCTGCATAATACTGGGATCGAACGCTTACTGTGTGGTAGAAAATAGAGTAGGATTGCAAAAAATGACTAATAATATTTTAACCTTTCATCGTTTTTCGTCACTTTTCTCTTTGGCAATACATCGCACTAGCGAGGAAAAAAGTTAATGAGCGTTTTTAACAGTCAACTAGACAAAAACTATTCGCGGGTTTAATTTATATCTCAGTACTGAATATTTATTATTTATGAAATGATTGTAAAGCCAATCATATCAACGCGCCCGCATTAACGAACCTTGACGTTTAGTATTCTAAACCGCAAACACTGACAAAAGTTTACCAAGGAAATAATCGTTTCTTGATTGCTACAAGCGTCCGCTTCTACGTTTTCTGCCTGCGTTTTTTGCGTACATACAGTCGCTGGCTAGCTTGAATTAAAGGGCACGAACGTGCCTAAAAATGAAGGAAAGCCAGCGATGGCTCAAGCGTGGAGAAGTCGAAGTAAGTTTAAATAATCCGCTTCCAGCTATAAGTTAGCCATTGTTCCGCTGAACGTTCATATATATTATACAGTAGATTCCAGAGATGCATTAATTCGACCTTAACATGTGTGTGCGTTTTGAAGCCTCTAGTTAGAAGCTATTCTTAATCTAGAAATATCAAGACCATTTGCATTCAATTTTGTACCCGGTTCGTAACTTAACATATGGCGTTCAAGTTCTTGTTTACGTTTGGAGAATACACGCGAATATTCTTTAATATTGTACTAGTGATTAAAAACATTCCGATAAAGATGTGATACATCTCCAATATCAATAGCTTAACAACATCCAAAGAACGTACGAAAAAATAAAATTTACTATTTAGCCGTTAAAAATTTAAAAGCAGTGATTTTTACTTGAAAAATCTTAGCGTAAATTACCCTTGAGACTGTTATGAAGTTTATTAATATTAGCCACCATATTGTAAAAGTAAAACGCATTTCAAATATTTATTTTTAATATAGGGCAGTCGTATGGCCAAAGAAGACCATCCTTAACCGTGCTCCTCAAACGAGTTCTCGAAGGCATTCCAGACGGAGGACAGATACTTAAGGTAAACACATTCGGAAAAAAATCAGTAACGTAGAACCATAACAGAGTGTTTTGATAGATGTATGTTAATTAGTTTACGCGATTAAAACAAAGACAGCTTAAAACAAGACACAGCATCTACAGCAAACTGAACAACGAAAAGATTGCTAGTTTAAGTGACATTATTTAGTTATACTTCTATTATTAGACTATTTCTTTAAAGTCACTCACTGCATATATTGGCAACCTGGCATAAAATTCAGTATTTTTTATTATCATCGATATATTTACTACTATTTAAACCACAGCAATGAGTAATTTAATTGTTGAAGTTGAATATCTTTTTAATAGAGGATAAAATATTTTTGGAAGCTCACACTTACCAAGGTCAATATTATATTGTATAAGTCTTCGTCCTTCCATACCAAATAAGAATCCTGCGGCTTGTTAAATCACTGAATGTTATGCTCAAATACGTTAGTAGGCGTTATTCATTGATTATTCATGCGCGAAGGGTTAGGAAATCACGATTCTTAATAAGGAAAATGTGATAGGAAGGACTGACCAAGGCTACTCTGAAAGAAAAATCCGCGTTGCTCCAGCTTGGAGATAAGATAAGAAATCAGAAGGCACTTGCCCAGATGCTCTACCACTGAGCCACAGGAGACTAGTGGGAGCTGAGGCGTAGTTACTGCATACTGCTGTAATATCGAAAGCTGGCATATACACAATGATGTGACGTTGAGTTTTTATAGCCTGATAGATTTATTAGAATTATCGTTTCTACGGTCAGGGACACAAGCTCTTAGATATGAGGGAGTTTGTCTGGCTATTCTCGTCTTAAATTTTTACCACACCTTTTGCCCTTCACTAACAGACTGAATAGAAATTAATTTTATTCTACGGGAATTCGGAAGAACATTTTCACGAGGAAATGTTCATTTTAATCATCCGTTTGTTCATTTGCGCAATTACCATGCTAATGCATCTTCAATAACACCATTGGAATGTCATTTTCTTTTTGGTAAAGTCTATTATGCCTTGAAAAAACATCACCATCAATAACATTGTCATTTACATTTTTGAAAGTCATTACTTACAAGTGATGAATGGATAAGTTTATTAAAAAGCGGATTTAACATTCCATGCTTTTGGGGCACCCTGCGCTCTTTCTAGCCGTATACTCAAAATTTTTGCTCCCTAACTGGAATGTTCTGATAACCGAGAACAAGCTCGGCGGCAAGGCATTCCACTAACTTGCAGTGCATTGACAAATTATTCTCTTAGAGGCATCTCAAAGGCGTATGAACGATACTAATTATGGCTACAGAGTGCGCAAGGTGGTCGGTACAGATTCATGCAGACATAAGTACCGCGTTGTCTTAGCCGCCAACCCATGGATGGTTAAAAAACTTTGTTTGTTACAGACGGCAATGTACTTGTCAGAAATGACTTTCAAAAATGCATGCATTAGCATGGTAATTGCGCAAATGAAAAAAGGGATGATTAAAATGAATATTTCCTCGTGAATATATTCTTCCCAAGATGTTATTGAATTTCCATGAAATAAAATATATTTCTATATCCTTTTAAGGAATGGCAAAAGGTGTATTGCTCGTCATTCAGTCTGAATGAACAAATCGCGTCATCAAAGAGAGATTCGCGCGTCGGCTATTGAAAAATGAGAAAGAAAAGAAAACTACATCGAATATCTTCTTTCTTCCCGCTTTCTCCCTCCCGTTTTCTTTTTCCTGCACTAGTTCCCATAGACTCACGAGCGTCTAGACTGTAACATACAACTTAGTCGAGGAGAGTGGAGGTTAGGGAAATACGTTTGCACTAGTCTGTCAAAGGGAAAGCACCTAGTTTTGTCCTGAAATATAAACTGCAGCTGTATTTTTAACTTGTCTTTCATTCTTATTTTCAGGAATTAATTCAGAATGCAGATGACGCCGGCGCCACAGAAGTAAAGTTCTTATTCGACTCTCGTGACAATGCGTTCGGTACCACTTCATTGATCAATGTCGGTTTGTCAAAGTTCCAGGGCCCTGCTCTGTATGTGTATAATAATGGACTGTTCACAGAAAAGGACTGGGTCGGAATCGAGTCCATTATGCAGGGATCCAAGAAAAGGGATCCAGTCGCTGCCGGACGCTTTGGGATTGGCTTTAACTCCGTTTATCACGTGACAGGTATAGCCTTCTAATAGGATGAGCCGCTAGGTAGACGAAGCAACAACGTGTGCACTGGTTCAAGTGCATGGGCTTTTAATTGATCCTACCTCCTTCTATTTCTACAACATTGCACACAATAAATTTTATTATGTGTCCACCATCTGCAACATTGCGTACAACGGCGTGATGCAGTTTTTTTCTTTAGTGTCAAGGTTTTTTAATTATACCGTTCAGCGAGGTCAGTTGCGACTTATGGTCCACTTTCCATAATCTGTCGATCTATTCAAGACCATATCACCGTTCAGTTAAAGTCCTTAATATGTAATTAGCTATTACTCTATTATTTAGGGGTATGAGGAGATTTTACACCAAGGTACTGTCCTCTTATAAAGTTTCATTTTACAGCACATTTGGTTATAACTTTGTAGATTGCTTAGTGCCAAGTGATTACTCATTAACTGGTAATTCGTTATCCCATTCATGACACTTAATTTTCACAATTCTTTCTTACAGACCTTCCTAGTGTTGTCAGTGATCATCACATCGCCTTCCTGGATCCTCAAGAAACGTATTTTGGGCCTGAAGAAACAGGTAGAAGGTACAATATGCGAGAACCGCTATTACAGCAGTACAGGGATCAGTTTACTCCATATGAAAATGTACTCGGATGCCAGATCTCTTCTGGACGATTTGACGGCACACTCTTTCGTCTTCCCTTAAGAAAATGGCCATCAAAAATATCAATCAAGCCGTACACAGCAGGAAAAGTTAACAGCCTCTTCGAGTCATTCATGGAAGAAGCACCAATAATTTTGCTTTTCCTAAAGAACGTAGAGTCTATTAGTATTTACGAGACGACCTGGACCGAGCTAGAAAAGAGAATTTTCACCGTTAAAATCAAGGAGGAATTAAGGGATTCAATTCGAGAAGCGAAGCATAAGTTTGTTGATATGGCGACAAAATTTCTCACCAAACCTTACGAAATGAGTTATGAGACCACTGTTGAAATTGATAGGCCGGACAAACACAATTCTCAAAGCAGGTTCATAGTCTTGAATCGGGTCGGACATGAAAACTTGAGATTAACAGAACTTTCCTCAACACTGCGAATGATACCTTGGGCTGGAGTTGCGGCAACGTTGGATGTACCACTAGAGAATACCAGAACAAGGAATGGACGAGTATTTTGTTACCTTCCCCTTCCGACAGAGTCAGACTGCAAAACAGGTCTGCCAGTACACGTTCATGGCGCCTTCGGGCTAACAGACAACCGTCGAAATCTCAAGTGGCCAGGACCAGAGAGCCAAATCGATGACGCCGCAGAATGGAATCTTCTTCTCACTCGGGATGTTGTTAGTAAAGCTTACGCAAGTCTCATTGTAAAGCTCACACAGATGAAGTACCCCAGAGAACAAATGCTTCCCTTTGTTCACAGTATCTGGCCAGATCTAGATCTTGTCCAAAGCCACTGGAAATTTCTCCTGAAGCCTTTCTTCGCAGAACTGATTGATAAAGCAGTATTTTGGACTCCATCACTTGGAGGAAGGTGGATCGCGTTAGAAGAGGGAATTTTGGATCGACTAGATCGTTCCCCAAACAAAATCAGAGAAGAACTGCGCGACGTAGTTGTTGGCACACTTCTTCAGGCTGACAAACCAGTCATCTCACCTCCCTATCAAGCTATGAAAGCTATCGACCAATATGTTCAACATCATGTCCGGAGACCTCGGGAAATAACGCCGTCATACGTACGTGCTGTACTCAAAGAAAACGTGCAACGTTCAGAGACGAACGACTTGTATGTTGAAAAGGACGCCATATTTCATCGTGGAGTAACTGATGCACATTTGGGCTTTCACAGCCTGAAGGGAATGGAGAAAGAAATCGGTAGAGACTTAAGAGGCAACAAAGGCTTGAACGTTGAACGTCTTAGTAAAAGGGAGAAATTGCTCCTTTTGGAGTACATCCTCTTGGATAGAAACTTTTCAGAGCTCAGTGGTCTTCCCCTTCTTCCCCTTGCAGACGAGACCTTTCAAAAGTTCCGAGCTGACATTCATGGATATAGTCCAGAACAAAGTGTGCTGATTGCATCTCGAAGCCATCCACGAAGCCTCATTCCAGGACGGGGTAGTAAATTCTTGGACGAGAAGGTGGGTGCAGCCCTGGTAGACACTTTGCGTTCTCTTGCGGGGGATATGGAGAGGGAACATACAGGACCAACTCAACTGGTGAGGCTGTCGCCTTCACTTGTACCAAAGCTACTCCGTGAAAGTTTGCCTGACGTTTGGAGAAAGAGTTCTGTTGTCGTTCCTTGGTCTGATACCGATGAGACTCTACCTGACGATCTCTGGTTAAGGGGGCTATGGACCTGGCTTAAATCTGAGTTCCCCAAAGATCTTTCCCCATTCGAAGGTATTCCTCTTATTCCACTGGCAGACGGGAGGTCAGACAAGCGACAGCTCATAAAATTGAAGCATGATCATCGTGTCATTCAGAGTTCTTCTTACTTTGCGTCTTTACCAAGAACTGTGGCAAATGCACTACAAAAGGCGGGGTGCATCGTTCTCCATCACTTAGCCCCATTTTGTGATCATCCAGCTTTGAAATACTACATCGAGCCACCGACGCCCTCCGGTGTACTTAAGGTGCTTGCAACAGGTTTTAATGAGGCAGGAAATGACTATCTTATCAGCTGTTCTGTTGACGAGAAATTGACGATCCGAGCATTTCTTTCTAGCTTGAGGAATCCTTCTGACGATGAAGTACTAGCACTGATGACGTTGCCGATATTTCAAACATTGGACGGCACGACATTTACTTCAGTGCAACCGGGCAGACCACTAACAGGCACAAAACTTGACGTCGCCCCTCCAAGACTACATCTTCCATCGGGTACCAAGATTCCGAATGCAAAACAGATACTCTCGGCTGCTGATGACGACTCTTACCAACTACTGCGACGACTTCCGGTTCGGATCCTAAACACGTCAAGCTTTCTTATCGACAAGGTGTTTCCTTACGTCGAAAGCGGAACCTTTTATTCTAGAGAACAAGTGTCAGACTTAATGTTTTGGGTGATCCAAAGGCTACCTGCCTTATCAAGCGACAATAAGTCATTTCCAGATCATTTAAAGACTGTGAGGTTTGTTCCAGTTTCGAATGGTAGCTTGAAGCCTCCTTGCGAGCTCTACGATCCCGAGGATGACTTAATCCAAAAACTGTTTGAAGGCGAATCAGATCTGTTTCCTGCTGAAGAATTTGCCAAAGCTCACACGCTAAGCTTGCTTCGTGTGTTCTTAGGCCTGAGACGAAGTCGCTTCCTGGAAGCTAAAGACGTCCTCTTGATTGCCAAGCAGATCACTCAAGCTCCAGAGGATTCTGCCCTAAGGAGGGCCGAGGCACTGACGCAGTTTTTAAAAGATAACTCATATCTGGTTGAACACGAGGTAAACTTAGAAGAAAGTGCCGGGCTTGTCAAGAGAGTCTCTCTGGGAAGCGTTCTATCTAGTCTGCCCTGGCTCCCAGCAGCTCCAGAACCTCTCAGCAAATACCCATCACGTATGCCTTGGTTCGGTGTTGCAAGAAGACTATACTGTCCAAAGGACATGAGAGACGCGGACATGGTCAACATCATTGGTTCATCTATGCCTGTGCTCCGAGAGAATCTTGACGAAAAACTCAAGAAAGCCTTTGGGTGGAGTTTTCCACCTCCGATTTCGTACGTTGTGGACCAGTTGAAAGGCGCGATTTCTTGGCACCAACAAGAGTTCAAATCTTCTGAAATGGAACTACTCAAGTTTCAAGCAATGTTGAAGGATATCTACAGTCATCTTTCGAGTGAAATGGTAATAGATGAGGCTTTTCTTGTCCTCAAGGAGTATTCGTCTCTGTCGTGGATATGGCATGGGTCAGGCTTCGCAAGGCCAAGCTGTGTTGCCTTGAAAAATGAATGTCAACTGGAACTTAGACCTTATATGTTTGTTTTGTCTGACGATTTTCAGAAGTATTCCTCGCTATTTAAACGCTGTGGCCTGTTGGAAACTTTAAATGATACTTCAGCCCTGAATGCACTGTATATGATTCGAGATTGGCACCAGGAGAAGAAAAGAAGCATGGAGGAAGTCAAGCGCGATCTTCGGGTGGCTTGCGACGTTCTGGATTACCTGACGAGAGACGGAACACCTCTTCCTCCTGAAATTCGCAAAAACGTTTTAACTCCAATTCAGACCGAAGACGACGTGCTCATTCTTCAACCGTGCTGTGATGTCAGTTTCTGCGATGCGGAGTGGTTGAGGCTCGGCAACTCCGATAGCGACATCACCGAGGTTGGACTTATGGTGCACAAGTGCATTTCCACTGAGACGGCACAGCTTTTAGGAATACCCCCTTTGAGCAGACATCTAGCGGTAACCGAGACTCTCGGTTTTCAGCAGAGTGGCCCACACGAACCAGTCACCACGCGTCTGAAAAATATACTGATAGATCACAGCGACGACCTAGCTATGTTCAAGGAGCTAATTCAGAACGCAGACGATGCAGGGGCAAAAGACGTGAAGTTCCTTGTTGACTGGAGAAAAAACAATACTGAGAAACTCTTATGTCCTGGTTTGGCGGAAGCTCAAGGGCCTGCGTTATGGGTCTACAATGATGCTTGCTTTACGGACAAGGACTTTGAGAATATCAACAAACTTGCAGGAGCTACCAAGTTTGGAAATGAAGACAAACTTGGACGATTCGGATTAGGGTTCTCCACAGTGTACAATATTACTGATCTCCCAAGCTTTATTAGCCGAGAGTTCATTGCATTCTTTGATCCCCAGACAGCGTACCTAGGAGACCTAATCACAGACAAATCTCGCCCTGGGATTCGACTAAATCTCAAGAGGAATCCAAAAGTGGTCATTGCTTTTCCAGATCAATTCAAACCTTACCAAGGAATATTCGGATGCACGTTTGAGAACGACGACGAACACTTTTTCTACGATGGAACGCTGTTCAGGTTTCCGTTACGAACCATGAGACAAGCCAGTGAAAGTGAAATTTGCAGCAAGTATTACGACGAGAATCACTTTGCCTGCTTGATCTCGGCCCTTCAAGAAAATGCGACAAAGATGATGCTCTTCTTAAAGAATATTAGCACAATAAGCCTTTCTCAAATATCAGCGTATCAAAATCCTTCCAGCGCAAATAGAATTTTTGAGGTTACGAAAGAGACGCTGGAGACATTCTCACGAAGAGACTTAGCTCGTAAAGACAAGAACAACAATCACAAAGAAGTACTTTCAAGTGACCTCAATGAAATGTCAAACTTAGACGAACAATATGATGAATGTCCAAGTCTATCCAAGCTAGTTTCGCTCAAATTTCAAACCTACCCAAGCGTCACAACCCAGAACACAAACATGCAAACCTGTCGTACGTGGTTAATAACGTCATGTTATGGAGACAGAAAATCGCTGGAAATGGCAAACAGCGAAGATGGGAAGCTCAATGGTTTAATACCCAAGGCTGAGGTCGCTACTCTACTGTCAAGCTCTAACAAGAGTAACGGGCAATGGAGCCCGGAGAAAATCGTAGGAGAGGTTTTCTTTGGCCTTCCGCTTGGAGTGGAAACAGGCTCACCGGTTCACGTAAATGGGCGTTTTGCAGTGACAGCCAATCGCCAAAACTTGTGGGAAGATACTGGTGGTGGCATGTACTCGCAAAAGCCGATCGAAGTACTTTGGAATCAGTACCTGCTGGAAGACGCTGCTTCAAAGGCCTATGTACAGCTGCTAGAAGAGATTGCAACTCTTCGAGAACAGGGAAAAGTTATGGATCTCTCATTTGATGCTATTTGGCCAGATCCAGAGAAAGCCCCTTCCAAGACGTGGAAAACGTTTGCGCACAGTGTCTATGAGAAGATTTGCAGTAGTTCCGTCCCTCTTGTGAAAACACAGTTGCGGTGGGTGTCGATTAAGGAAAGTGTCTTTTTGGATGAGAACGTGATGATGCTACCTGAAAGCCTCCCGATAATGTGGACATGTGGCTACAATGTTGTTCAACTTCCAAGATTCGTATCCGTCGCTTTTCAAAAATGCGTCCCATCGATCGTTGAACAAACCGTCACGTTGGAGAAGTTTGTCTGCGACGTGTTTTTCCCCAACATTGCTTCCCTGCCGAGAGATTTGAGAGATCCAGTTACATGTCACGTATTGGATGAATTTTTCAGGGGTACTCGCAAGTTTGAAAAACCTTTAAAACAGACAAAGTGCATCCCAACCTCACCCATGGGAATTCAACTATCTCGACCAGGGGATTTAATTGATCCAACTGGTGCTGTCAGCACCCTTTTTCTTGACGAAGAACCTGTCTTTCCAAGTGGTACCAGCTTCCTTCGACCTGAGCGACGTGCGGCATTAAAAAAACTCGGAATGGTGGATAGCTTAATGGCATGGGAAGGGATCTGCGAAAGGGCCATATTTATCTCCTCGTTGGCTAATGAAGACACGCAAAAGGCATTACCGCTGTCACGGAACCTAATGAAATATTTAAACAACAACATGTGTAAGTTATCTCCTCCAAACACAACTCAGCGAAAACTGCTCTCTGAGATACGTTTTCTCCCAGTCATGGACAAACCTACAGAATACTGCCTGCCATGGAGAGGTGCTGAAGGTCGAGAAACTAATTTTCTCTCTGCCAGAGAGTTATGCCGGGAGGATTCAAAATACTTGCTTGGGTCAGTTAAGCCATTCTTAGATGAATCTCCAGAGACAGGATGTGACCGTTTAACCAAAGACGTGGCAAAGCTACTGGGATTTGCTAATCAGCATAATACGATGGAGAACGTCCTTTTACAACTTCAATATGCTGTTCATGGGTTGGTGGCATGTGATGCCGCTAACAGAGAGTGCACGAGAAAGGTATGCATTGCTGTGTATCAGTTTCTTCAAGACAGGATTAACACATCGGACAGGCAAGTCCTGCTAGATCAACTAAATAAACAGCCATGGATATTTGTAGATAACAAGTTTGTAACGGCGAGCCAAGTAGCATTTTCATGGCATTACCACGGAGACCCCTTCCTTTACTGCCTTCCAGAAGAATTCACCTTGAAATTCAAAGAACTATTTAAGGCACTTGGAGTTCGGGAGTCTTTTTGTAGTCAGGACTTGGTGGACAAACTTTTCATGTTCGAGGAGACAAAGCAAGGCAAGCCTCTAACACCTCAAGAGTTTAGGACCGTTAAAACATTCCTTGAGGAAATTGTCTTGATGGACGACCAAGTCTTGGATTCGTATTTTGGGCACTTACCATTGCCAGATGTGAATCTTGTGCTCACAACTGCAGGAGACCTTGCAATCAACGATTCGTCGTGGATCCACCACGAAGAGAAAATGAAGTGCCTCCACAGTGATATTTCTCCAACACTGGCCCACAGATTTGGCGCCCAAACGATTCGTGAACAAAAATTAGACAAATATTCTCATACCATCGGAAGACCATTTGGTCAAAGCGAACGCCTCACACGTAGAATAAAAACTGTGTTAGAATCCTATCCATGCGACGCTGGAATTCTTAAAGAAATAATCCAAAACGCCGATGACGCTGGGGCTACAGAGGTACATTTTGTACACGACCCACGCCAACATGGTACCACTCGTATTTTGTCGGAGAAATGGAAAGACCTTCAGGGACCCGCTCTATGCATCTACAATGATTGCGCCTTCACAGAAAGCGATATGGAGGGGATACAGAGACTTGGAATTGGAAGCAAGGTAGAAAGCCCTGAGAAAACGGGAAAATATGGAATCGGGTTTAATGCCGTATACCATTTGACAGATTGCCCAAGCTTCATCACGAATGGTGAGGTACTCTGTGTACTTGATCCACACGCCCGACATGCACCAGATGCAACTACAGAATTTCCTGGACGCCGCTTTGAGCCCCTTGACAATGAGTTCTGGAATCATTTCGCCGATCTTAGACCCGGTTATTTGGAAGAGTTTTTCGAACTGAAAAACTCAACTTTGTTCCGCCTTCCAATCCGAACAGATTCACAGGCCATGAAGTCTGAAATCTCATCAAAGTGTTTCAGTAATTCAGACATTGACCACTTGCTGACAATTTTTGAAGGGGAGATTCGGGATATTTTGCTGTTCCTCCAAAGTGTGAAGAAAATAATTATCTCACGGATAGAAAACAACAGACTGGTAAGAAGATACGAGGCAACTGCAACGATCCAACGTGCCGATCTATCGAAGGTTCGTGCTCTTGATGCAGAAATAATGCGATGTAGGGGACTTAAAGCCAACTGCATCCCTTGGTTCGGGACTACTTACACCATCACCATTCAAGACACTCTCGGACGAAGAGAGGGGTGGGTTGTTCAACAGTGTCTTGGATCTCGAATGTATGGAGAAAAGACGTTAATCCCAGAAGGAAGTAATTATGGACTGCTCCCTCGAGCTTCTGTGGCAGCACGTGTAGTTACAAATGAGGGTCTAAGCCCCTCACGACGGAAACGTTCTTTAAATTCACCATCACAGACAAGCCAGAACAGCAAGATTTATCGTGCCTTTTGCTCTCTTCCACTGCCCATTGAGACAGGTCTTCCCGTTCACGTCAATGGGCATTTTGTACTTGATCGTTCCAGGAGAAACCTCTGGAGAGACGAAGGCGGTCACGGTCAAAGAACACAATGGAATGAATTTATCAAGAATCATGTTCTGGCTCCGGCCTATGCAGAGCTAATTGAAGCTGCTAGGAATCACATTCCTGGCATTTCAGAGGGTATCCACTGGCACTTCAGTGACATCAAAGATGTAACTAGTGGTTTGAAATGGTACCATGGTCTCTTTCCTGATCTAGAAAGCATTCACAGCGAGTGGAAAGGCATTGCTTTGACTGTGTATAAATTGCTGGCAAATTCCAACCAACCTGTCCTTCCAATTATACGCGGTGAACCGCCTCTTACAAACATAGTGGCCTCCCCTCTAAGGTTTTCCATGTATGGCACAAATTCACATTGCAATTGTTTATGGGTTCCACCATGCAGTGACAAAGATGACCAAGAGGCATTTTTCAGCGTCCCTTCCGATCCAGATCTGGAGGAACTATTGCTCAAAGTTGGCCTTCCCATCGTTCACGTACCGCCAAACCTCTATTATAATTTTAAAGAAGCGGGAGCTATAGTGAAAACAGTGAGTCCTGACATCGTTTTGGCTTACCTTGCAAAAACGAGGCATTCTATGCTAGCGCTTCCGTGCTCTATCAAAAAAACTACCTTCAAAGACGCCAGTGACCTTAAGCGATTGGTACAGTTCTGCATGGAAGACGAAAATTTTCTTCAACGTTTAAATGGTCTTCCCCTCCTACTTACCGATGACGAGGTGCTCAGAGAATTTGATCAGAACAATCCAGTTTTTCTCACGCCATTTTCAAGTCTTGTGCCTTCGCAACCAGACCTCTTTGTCAACAAAGAATTTATTCCATTGTTTGCCAAGTACTCAACGAATCAGCTTTGCAAGGCGGGGGTCTTTAAACGTTTCGACACTAAGTCTATTGAACCTTTCTTGATCCAAATTCTGCCATCTCGATGGTTTGCTTGTGACAGGCATGTCTCATGGGAACCAAGCGAAGCTGTTTTACCGTCAGTTGAGTGGTTAACAACACTTTGGGAATTAATCGTGAACACGTACCAAGAAAGGCAATCAAACTTTGAAGATAACGAAGATGCTTCCGAAACACTGCGACCACTTGATGACTGGCCCATTCTCCCGACCTCTAAGGGAACTCTTGCGCCACTGTCCCTCGGCAAGACAGTGTTGGATTTAAGTTCTCGCATCCACGACGACGATAGAATGGTGAGGATCCTATGCAAACTCGGAAGCTCGCAAATAGATTTTAGCGTTCTGACAAGGGCAAACAGAGAAGAGGCTTCCGTGATTGTATCGTCACACCTCGCAAAGCCATACTCACGACAAGATGTTATCAGTGTCTTGCATTATTTGTCTAAAGATGATAACTTCCATTGCGACCTCAGTCAAAGGGAAATTACTACTCTTCTTAGATTTCTGCAAGAAGACGTAACGACCGTGTACAGCAACCAATCTCTACTGAAGAAACTCCCCCTTTACAAGACATTAAATGGGAGGTTGGTTAGCCTCGATTCGTACACCTTTTCTTATGTCGTTGACCTACCGCAGTGTGTGCCATTGGCAGAGGTAGAGGATCGCATAGAGGAAGACAGTTGCGTCCTGCTAGAAGCAATACAAGAAATCGAACCGCTTTATAAGGCACTTGACATCACTTTCCTTTCTCAAGTTGAAGTCTTCGTAAAGTATATCTGGCCAAATCTTGATGTTATGTCTTCATCGAGTATTAAAGTAATTCTCCAGTACATCAGAGACACACTCCTTGTCACCTTGAAGAACAGTCGTGAGAGAACCACTCTCCTAGAAACCCTGCGAGAGACCAATATCTTTCCAAGTGACGGTGGAACCCTCTTTCCTGCTAGCAGGTTTTATGATCCTGAGAATGCAGTGTTCAAAGCAATGCTTCCTCTAAGTGACTTTCCACCGGAGGAGTACAGATTGTCCCACTGGCTTCCGATGCTCCGACAGATTGGTTTAAAGCAAACCGTAACACAGCAGCAATTTATCGAGTTTACCGAAGACTTGGCCTCGGAGGCTACGACTCGATTTAAGGATCCATTAATACAAGACAAATCCAAAACACTAGTCACGTGCTTATTTCAGCAAGATGATTTGCATGATCCAAGCTTTCTTCACATCGTCTCAAGCATAAAATTTGTAGCAGCAGAAGTCGCAGCAATTGAGCTGAGAAAACTACAGCCCCAATTTGGTTGCCCTTCAGTTGAAGACGTTCCCCCTTTCACTGAATTCCATGGCGCTTTACCGTCTGAGCAACAGAGACTTGCCTGGACTTGTATGCCTCTTCTCCCAGCTTGGGCTACTCCACAAACCGCCGAGAAACAGTTACTAGAGGACCTCGGAGTCTCACCTCTTCCGCCACTTGATAAAGTCATAAATCACGTTAATTTTCTAACAAAGGCGCACATTGGGAACGTTCACAAAGACACTCCCAAAGAGCAAAGAGAGCTTCTGCATGATGTCATATGCGAGTCATTCAGTTTCATGAAGAGCGAGTGCAATTGTCCTGGCACGGCCTTGTCTGAAAGATGTACCAAGTCATGTCTTGCTATTGAAACCATTCTGAGGAAGACCCCATGTATTCCCGTTGAAGAAGGACGGGTGTTTGTTCAAGGAAGTCAATTGGCGTTTGAAACAACAATAGAACTTGCACCCTACTTCTATAAGGTACCACGAGAGTATGGTCACTTTGAACATCTGATCAAAAGACTTGGGGCAACTGAAAAACCCACACCATCACAATTTGCAGATATACTTGGGAGGCTTAAAGAGGTGTGTCAAGATAAACACATGGAACCAAACGAGAAAAGAGTGGCAAGAGAGGCAACGCATGGCTTCTTTACAACACTGTCACTGTTGGTGAAAGAAAAGAGTGAAGAAGCCGCAGCTCGACGTCTGGCATCACTTAATGAACTTTACTTACCTAGCAAAGAAGGTTTTCTTAAGCAATCAAACGAACTGATATTTCACGATTGCCCAAGTTTTGAGCGACGTGCAAGGGACTTTGCTGGCGACTTTGTAGACATAAGTCGGGAGGGCGAACTCACTGCAGACCGCCTTTCATACCTCTTAAGTCTACTACCATTGCGCCTAAGAGCTAAAACTATTCAGCATCTGCTGCGAGAGGAGATTCATCCAAGCTGCAGAGACAAGCGCTGTATAGCAGATAGTGCCCTTGGTTCAAACGATTCCTGTCCATTCGTGAACAGATATCGGAATGTACTGTTGTCTCCAAAGCTAGTGAATGGTATTCTCCGAGTTATCCGTCACCAAAGACAAACGCCTAATCTTCCACAAGAAGTAAAAGATCAAGTCCAGGTTCTTTGCAGCTCCCTGAGTGTGACATGCATGGCCTCACTGGACACCCACCTAGTTCTTTTAGAATCAGGACGGTCACTTAAGGACAGTAATGAGACACAAGACTGTTTCTTAGAAGAAGAAAATGGAGAATGGGAGTTATTTATAAGGCATGGCACGGACGAAAACCCTCTACACATCCAGCTGTGTTTTCAAGTAAATCGTTTGATTCGCAACCAAATAGAGAAAGAGATTTACCTTCAAGCGATGCTAGCTTGCAGGGTACCGGATGAGATTCTCCCCTCTCTCGACAGATGTGGAGTCGCTCAAGACCTCATGGGGAGTGAGGCGCGGACTACAGAACCTGTTCTTGGATCAGAGATACCAGTCATGTATCACTACCTTCTCAGGCAAGATATCGAGTACTTTTTTCGACAAGGCGAAATAGTGGGCTACGAGAAAGAGCACCGAACGAAAGATGGTGAAATCGATGACAGTGAGCCTCTTTATGTGTACGCAAAAGTAGTAAGAAAAGTACCTAATCGTAAACGGTCTATGGGCACCAGTAAGTTTGATCTCCAAGCTAAATATCGCATCGATATTGGGGAACCTCGCCTCGTGGAGGTCAGCGTTTTGGATTTGTATAAGTTTGATCGCTCTGTTAAAGAGGTGCCGACCGTGCCTATTGAACTCTCAGACTCTCTGGAGGTAACGCTCTTTACTGGAGATCCCAACAACACTGAGCAAAAGTCAGCTACAAGAAACGAACGCCTAGAGAGAGCAAAGCGAGAAATCAAAGACACTCTTTGGGAAGCTTGGAAGTTGCCTGAAAATGAGAGAAGGAAAGTCATAAAACGCTTGTTTTTGCGGTGGCATCCAGACAAGAATGTTGGCTGCGATATCGCTAATGACGTCATGCAGTTCCTGCTCAACGAAATAGAAAGAATGGAGAAGCTCTTCCCTTCTTCTTGGAGGGACAATTTACGAGATGCAAAAGAACAGGGACATAGCGACGGTGGTGGAGGATTTCACGATTTCTTCAACCAGTGGAATCAGCGAGCTCGGCAGGAGAGACAAACGTACAACACCTTCAAGCGACAGGCACATCAGGGAACGCCGTACGCCAAACGGTCGACCAACCCTCAGAGAAACGAAGCAAAGCGGTGGCTGAAACAAGCAAAGGAGGATCTAACGGCCGCTAGAAACATGCACGCTCAAGAGGCGACCTTCTCAGCTTTGGTTTGCTTCTTATGCCAGCAAGCCACAGAAAAGGTTTTTAAGAGTGCTCTGTACGCCGCCTGTGGCATCTCTGAAAGCCAACTGGAGACACACGATGTGTTGAACCTTGCGTACGAAATTACTGAACTAGATGGGTCGCCTGAGGACATTCCTGTCCTTGCGGCCAAACTGAAGAATTACTACGAACAGACCAGGTACCCTCACTATCACAGAGGTGACGTCATACCATCTGATGCGTTCACTTTTGAACAAGCGCAAGACGCATTGGAGATAGCTGAATTACTCATGGATAAAATAACACAGTTTGTAAATGACAATTTTGCTCAAGTGTCGTGACATACAGTAATGAATAATAGGCAGAATAATTTGAAAAAGACTTTGAGCAAGCTTTTCTTAACCTAAATGCAACATTTATAGATATGCTCAGGACGCGAACTTCGCACAGTCGAACCTCTCCACAAAAGCGAGCTTGGGGACGAAAGAAGTGGTCATTCTGGCAGTTGGGTCCTTTCCTTCAGGCAATGCTACACGAGACGACTCGCAAAAACGACTTTTAGGGACACAATGTTGGAACAATATCGTAACAGCTCGATACAATGTCGCAACAATGTTGCAATGCTGTGATACGCTGAAAATCGTCGTTGCGAATCGTCCCATCGTGGAGAGGTGGCCGTCAGTAGAGGCTAGACTGTGTCAAGCAAAGAAAAACAAGAAAAGAAAAAAAAAGTTGACAACGTTGGTTTTACAAAGTGAAAGTAAAAGTAGTGTAAAGCAACTGCAATGAATAACTTTCAATGTGTTATATGCTTATTGCAGATTAGCACTTTTCCCACTTATTCCGCAGTGAGGTTTACCAAAGTAAAGTTACAATTATAGGTAATAGGTGTAAAGAAATATCAATTGACGACGATTTTACATGCTTTTTAAGTTAATATGCAATTTTTCCACCCACTTCGTTTGAATTTTAGGCAATGATTTAGACAAAAAACGTACTGAATTTGAAAAAAAGAAACATGTATACATTGTTTCTTAAATATTTTCCTCATAGTTATTTGGGAGGGGGTGGGGGTGGGGGGTCAGACACAAATCAACTAGTTAAAAAAGAAGAACCATTAAATTGTGTGGGGCTGTTGTAACGAGGATATGAATTTATTTTTGGTAGCAATCTGATTAAACCTGAATATATTATTGAACTGGCTTCATTGTCATGTCAAAATACCTGATTACAGTCCAGAGGTTTTAACGTAAAGTTATAGTTTACTATCAAGAAAATAAATTATAGCAGTCAAGTCTAAAATGAAGACTGCTTTAAGGGAGCTAATCTTCATCCAAAGCATATAAATTTACATGCTAGCAGGAGAATGAAAACTTACAAGTTTTTTAATCGATTGATTCAATAGAAAAAAACCATTGCCAAAGACCAGAATGGTTCTCTTCAAGGAAATAAAATACAACGCAATATTGGCTTAACTTAGAAGTCCAAAGACAGTCTCCTATGATATGATCATATATAAGAAACCTATTCAGCGGTACTTTAAAATGGAAAATTCGTCATACTGTACTAGTCATGTATAAACAGGTTCTAACTTTTGAAGCTGTGCATGTAATCGTACAGTATGGTGGGTACATTCAAATAAAACCTCTTCCACAGTAATTCTACTAGCCTTACAATAAAAGTCCTTCATCCGACTTCACTGCTTGCTTGGCCACTTTGCCACCTAAAAAGCTCGCTCTACTCACTTAAAAACTTGTGACCTTGGGAGGTCGCCTTGAGGCAAGTCTATACTTCTACAAGCCACTATCACAGCTCTATTAGTGCCTTGTGAAAGTAATATAAGTCTTATGACACTGTATAAACATTTTCTTAATTTGAAGTCTGTGGATGAGATCTCACATTGCTCCCATTCAACCTGAACTTATTTTAGCGTTTTAAAATGAAAGAAAGAAATTTACATTGTTCACATTTGAACTTTCAGGACCGGTAAGATTTTTATATTCTACCCCACAGTACAAAACAATGCTGTTCTAAAAAGATGGTTTCATGTCAAGCAGAGGTTCAAGAACTTTTTAAAGGCTGGTTATTAAAAAGCTGGTCATCAGACTACATTTCATTGTACAACAGGCTATTTACAATACCTATCAGCCTTCATCTTTTCTCTCCTATTCAACATTTCTTCATGCAATGTTCCCTGCATTCTAGCTTTTTTTAGTTTCTTGTTGTCCTCTTCACTTAGGCGCAGATTCCTGTCCTGAAAACTCTGGAATTTCTTGACATAACTAATTTCGTGATTCCTTAGTTCTTTTTCTCCCTCTGGTAAGGTGCTAGTTGACACTTTCCTGCAATAAACCAAAAAACCAGGATGATAATCGCAGTTATATACGAAACTTTTGCAGTTGCAAAAAGAAAGCCTGAAAAAAATTCAGGCTTGTACGGGATTCAAACCCTTGACCTCTGCGATACCAATGCAGCACTCTACCAATTAAGTTAACAAGCCAACTGGGAGCAGGTCGTTGAATTGGTTCATTATAAACCCGTGAAAGGATGGAGATGAAGTTATGAATAATGAAACTCATATATGTGAACTGCGGGGTGAAGGAAGGAAGGATGATCATCCTTCATTTAATATAATTTATTCTTCACTCAGCAGTTCACATGTAATAGTTCATAAACCAAGAAACCATAAGTAACCTGACTTGTTTGTACCTCTTTAGTCCTTACAGTCAACCAGCCATAGATGCTATGTAGTTGTATATTTTAAGTCTGTGGACAAAATCCCTTGTGGTTACCATCCAAATGAAAACCAATTCAGTAGCACAAATGCATTGAAAGAGAAAATTGGTTCAAGTCACTCTTGGGGCTTCAAAGGATTTGAAAACTATGATAAGGGTGGGCAATGGTGACAATATGCATATGTGTGGATTTTAATTTATATCATTAAACTGTAGAGTTGGCAGAAAACATTCCACCAGGAGCAGCTTTCCAGTTAATTCTTTCAAGAGGGGGATCATGCAGACTATCTGAGGGGTCACCAAGACCAAGAGCTAATCTTTCTTGTTATATTTAACTTAACACTTATATGTCATCTGTCAGGTCAGGAAGCCTTCTTTGTCGGGTCATTGACCCAAGACCTGTCTCTTATCTGAAACACTGCAGGAGTGCCAAAATTGTATGCTGCTTGTTCATTTTGACTGGGCTGCAGCTGGTGAGCCTTAACCCTTTAAGTCCCAATAGTGACCAACATCAATTTTCTCCTAACAAAATCCATAGATTGTCAAGGGCAAAGTCTATGAGAATTAATAAAATGATCACAAAGGGAAAAGTCTTTGATCTTAAATCAAATTCTCTGAACCAATTTTTAAGGAAAATTAATGTATGGATATCAGTTTGGAGAATTTGTATTTGGATACTCTGCAATTCTTATGTGGATGACTTCTCTGTATGCTAATGCAAAAAAAAGATAAACTTCTCACAGTGTTAACACCACAAAACTAGTTGACTTACACTTTCACAGCACTGGTTCTTATGCAAAATGTTTCCTTTTCTCCAACGATTTTCTTTGTTGCAGAGAGTTGACCCTCATCACTCACTGACAGAAAGCAGCCATTGTATGTTTCTAGGGCAGCTTTATCCTCTTCAAACACACACTCAAACTGTTCTTGTGGACCAATGGCATCAGATCTACCACTGACATTTCCCATCATATCAACAGACATGTATTTCCCTGCCATTGGAAGAAAGAGTGTAAACATGTATTCACAAGCAACTACAGAATGCAGGGCCAAATTGTCAGGACTTAAATGGAAGTGGCTTGGTGGCTCACTGGGTAAAGACAAATGTTAAAAGAATGAGAAAGATAAATATTTAACTTAATAAAGTGTTAGATACATTTTAAAGAACAAGTGAAAGTACATTGTATATATTTTTGGGGTTCGGTGGCCTGTCAGTCGAAGTTAGAGTCTTGAAGAATGCGGAAGGTACTGGTATAAAAAAAAATTATATATTTTAGTGGCCCAGCACCTCAGTGGCCTTTCAGTTGGGAGTGCTGAGTCACCAAGCCACTTAATGATAAGGTTGTTTTAACTCATTAATGAACCTCTGAGCCACTTGAAAGAATTATAATTCTAAAAAATAATAGTTGCTCTGTATTCTGTATTATGCCCATCATCGGCGATGCACGTCAAAATTTACTTATGGGAGTGAAAATACCAGTCCCAGAGTAAATGATAGTCTTGTAAGGTGGTTCCAGCTGTTCGGTCTGTGGATGAAATCATGTGGTAACTGCCAGTTTTGCTACTTGTCTAGTTCACCACGTCAAGTTTGCAACATGTTCACTACTAACACGCCGAATTCGCTAATTACTTTCTTCTGTCATCCTGCTTCCACGATTTTTTAGAATGAACATCTTGTTTTAAATAAGTCTGCCTTCCTCAACCTGAAATGGGCGCCATGTTTTAGCTCAGTTCGGTTCGAATTAAAACAGTGAATTAACAGAGGCAGCGAATTTGGCATGTTAGTAGCGAACATGTAGCGAACTCGAACACAGCGAACTAGACAGGTAGTGAAACCGGCATAAACCAGTCCTGAAGTGTGACTATTCGAGTGATTTACTGCGCTTTTCATAAACATGCAAATTCTGAAGTTCAAAAGCCAACTGACGATTGTATTTTTCGCTGCCGTCAATCATCTTAATGGACCTCTTAGGAAACAAAACTTTACTTTAACAGGTTCAAAAGGTCATGGTTTCTGATTTGTGATTGGTGGATTTCGATTCGTTTTATGTGTTTCTGTGTTTCAATGTTTGTTGCTTGTGATCGTAATTATGATTGATGGCAGCGAAAAACGCAATTGTGAAGTTGGCTTTTGAACTTTAGAGTTCGCATGTTTGTGAAAAGTGCAGTAAACCTTTTCAGCAAAATGAAATTGGAAATTTTGTCAAATTTACTTAAGGAAGTGACCGGGTTAACCTTGAAGGCAAACAAAATTTCCTCGGCCAGTTTACAAGGGGATGAGGCCCCAAATGAACTATCAACGATGACAAAGCCTTCAATAATATTTTCAACTTCTACTGGTATTCTTCTGCAAATCCAAAAGATCAAAAGAGAACTTGCGGGTGATTTTGTCTCCTCGCCATCTGCTAGTGAGCGTACAGATAGAAATGTGAAGCCGGTCAGATTTGGGATAAGATACTGAGAGAGTTTCATGAAATGATGTGGACAATAACAAGGTATTCAACTTGTGAACGTCTTTGATCGCGTATTAGTTTGTCCTGTACGTACCATAACCCGATTTCAGTGCTATTTTTTTATCGGACAACTGCACTGCAGTAAATACTTCAACAGGAGCCGGTGAATTTTCGCCATCATCCCTCGGTTCACCAACAGAAAACAAACCACTGTTTAATGCCTCCACGTAAGATTTCTTAAACGTTTGCAGCGCGACGTTACCGCTAGCTTCAGCGAATGATTCAACTTTTCTCCAACCACCATGGCGAAGTGCATCGATATCAGATGGTTCTCCTTCTTCTTCTCTTTCTCTTTTCTTCTTCTTGTGCTTTCGTTTTCTTGAGCTATCGTCCATTCCTTTGAGTTTCAGTCGACCTACTTTAACTTGCTTGTAGTTGTCCGCCATCTCGACGATTGACAGAAAGTAACTTGAGCCCGCGATAACAGAGGAGCTCATGAACACCAACATCGTCATGTAAGCCAACTGAAGTGTATCCAAGGTTATCGGGGAACTGGTACAAAATGGCGTTCTACAGTCATTTTCGAAAAATCACAGTAGAGCCTGTGTTGTTCTCTTACATGATGTGCTTATTTATGTCATATCCCCTTATCCAACAGCTCGCGTTCAAAAAGATTTGCCACGAGAAATACAACGGTGAAATCTGCAAAAACCTCACCAAGTCACAAGAAATCTATGTGCAGCAAAAGACATCGAAATGGATTCTGTACCAGTCTGTTGCATTGACTTTACCATCGATCTTTGCCTCCCTACTCTTGGGTTCATGGTCGGACAAAGTCGGGCGTAAAGTCATCCTCATTTTGCCGTCCGTGGGAAGCGTTTTGCTGTACATTAATTACATAATGAATGCCGCATTCTTTTCACTGAATGTCAATTATATTATCATTGGCGTTTCCATCTCTGCGCTATTTGGAGGTTTTGCTACCACGCTCCTGGGCGTTTTCTCCTACATTTCGGACATCACTGACAAGTCCCAGCGAACCACGAGAGTAGCTGTTTTAGAATCCATGATATTCCTTGGCGGGACTGCTGGCAATTTGGTCGGTGGAGTGTTGGTTGAGCACCATGGTTTTATGCCTGCGTTTGGCCTTTGCTTGGCCCTAAATGTGTTAATAATACTGTACGTAAGTTTGGTCCTTCCAGAGTCTTATTATCCTCAACAAGATCAGGAAGGAAACTGGGCTTTACTTGCAGTACACAATCACCTGAAAGCATCAATAGCAGTCTTAACCAAGACTAGGCCTAAACATCAAAGACTGAATTTACTAGTGATTTTGTTTGGCATACTGTCATTCACTTTAATCAGTAAGTAGGTTATGTTATTTTTAATATAATTATACAAGAAACCACCCAAAATTACAGGCCAAGACAGCATGCAAAGAAAGTAGTGTCAGATAGCCCAGTGCTAGTGGATTTTACTATCGGGCTAGTAAATAGACCTTGTCATGGTTTTTGACGCCATCTTGACGAGTAGGCAAACGCGTGAGAAATTACAGTGTTTGTATGAGAATCTAATGTCGAATAATTTCCGTAAAAAGGCTGTTCTGAAAAAAATATCAATTGTAAACGAAAACTACAAAGCAAAGGATTGTCCTAAAAAATTTGGGGGGCGTACCTGAGCTTAGATTTCTCCAGAGGCTTGCTTTAGATTTTCCATATATTTGTCTCTAATTTTTTCCCGGGACTTTCTTACAGACAAATGTAAAGAAAATTTTAAAAAGTGGTTCTAGATCTTCTAGTGCATGTAACGCCCTCAATTTTTTTCATTAGAATTCTTAGGAGAGAAGCTTTAGTTTACAAATCATATTTTTGTCAGAACAGCCGTTCAACGGAAATTATTCGACATTAGATTCTCGTACAAACACTGTAATTTTTCACGCGTTTGCCTACTCGTCAAGATGGCGTCAAAAACCGTAACAAGGTCTATTTTGTTGTTAACTTGCCCGACAGGCAAGTGATGTTTTTTGAACAATTCGAATGACAGAAGGACTATGAAATCAATTCTGCTTGTCAAAAAGCGTCTGGGGTTAAAATGTCATCTGGGCTAGTAAATGCTGCCCGTGTGAAAAACCTCCATGGAATTCCATGGATTTCCATGGAAAATTCTCCATGGAATTCCATGGAGGATTAGGACATCAATTTCCATGGAATTCCGTGGAAATTTCTCCATAGATTTCCATGGAAAATATTTGCATGGAGGATTAGGACATTTCCCATGGAATTCCATGGAAAACATTAGGGCACCAATATCCATGGAAATTTCTGCATCGACATTTTCCATGGAGGATCAGGACATTTTCTATGGAATTCCATGGAAAAGTTCCATGCAATTCCATAGAAACTACGCCATCGATTATTCCATGGATCTCCAGGGAGTTTCATGGAATTCACAGGAATTAGACATTTAAAATATCCAGTGAATCAAATGGAATACATAACAGATTTTGGTCCACTGCAATTTATTTAATCAATAAAAGGACCGCATAAATCTCTTTTTAAAGACATCAATCAAAACTTAACATGCTTTTGGAGGAAAATTTGACATACTGTAGCTTAACAAATTAATGTTTACTTGTAACAATATACATTGCAGTTTAGAATGCAGCAATCATATTGAATTAGCTTAAATGAAAAATTTAGATTCAATATAAAGCAAGGAATCTTGGCCTGGTGTTTAAGAAAAGTAACAGGCGAACAGATGCATAACTGAGAGAAAAAAAATAAGCGAATACTTGAATGCATAAACCGTCAGTATGTAAGACTTAAACATGGCTTTATTTAATGCGACAAAAAAGGGAAGTGCTACTTATTTCCTCGATCAGAACCACTATGGTATTTAGTTATAGCAAAGTCCTACCTAACCCTTGGGAAAAAACGGCGTCAGCCACAATTATAATTTATCAGTCTCTTGCATAGTTTTTACGTAGCAGGCATGAAAATTCTAAATATGATATTTCTTCTTATGCATCGAAGCAGTCCATCGAAGTACAGTCTTCGATTTCTAATTCTGCCAGAAGTAGTAATCATTCCAAAGGATTCCAAAGGCAATTTGCAGGAAAGACCACATTCATATCTGTATAAACAAAAAAGATGGAAACTACATATTAAAACCGATAAACAGCACCCGAAAAGTCACCCTTCTAAATCTAGCAGAGACATATAAATCGAGCAGACGAATTCAATTGAGCAACCAAACACGAGTTGTGTACATATTAAGCTTACCTTCCTCCTTTAATGTGCGATCCAGCTGAGTCATTGTTCAATCGAAGTCGGTTTGAAAGAAGCCAAATGTAAGCAACCTCACAAGTGATATTTTGCGCTGAAAATAACATCTTTTTCGGATGCATTCATTGCAAAGACAATCCGTTTACACAACACTGTCGTACTGCACAGAAGTCCGCCTAAAGATTCGAACCAAGAAAACTAATCTTCTACGCATTTCTATTGGTTCAAAAGCTCCACGTGATCACGTAAGTCACTAAGCGGGGAGGCCTGGACGCCAGTTCAAGCACCAAACATGGCGTCAAATCACGGCACGATCGTGGAGATGTCTGTCTTTAAAGGCTTTAAATTGTGGTCTCTTTCAGAGTTAATTGTACTATTCCGACACTGTCGAAGAGTAAAGCAGTGAGAGGAAAATATTGCATTGTTCTCCCAGGTGAGGGAACCTTTGAAAAAAGGCAGCAGGCCTATTCATAGTCTCATACACAGCCGTCCTTAGTGTCGTCACGCAACGCTTCTCCCCACTAAAAACGGCTGTGTAGCAGACTAGCCTATCCACGGATGCGGCAAAAAAACTCTAATATTGCTTGTGTAGGTTCACCGAAATACTCTATGCAAAGCAATCTCATCAATCAGGTTGGACTCGAGTAATAGGGAAAATCTTAGCTCTCAACCAAAAACACTTCGATACCGAGAAGAGTTATATGCCTAGTGGGATCATTTTCTACTGGCTATTTTGGGACTCGTACATCGTCTTGTATTTGCTATTCATATGGGATTCCGACTAAACTGATTAGGGCTATTCAAGCACTGACTCGAAACGGTTAGCTTCTAATTAGGGTTACGGTTGTTTTTATTTGAGTAAAATCAAGCTCCACCTAGCAGCGAGTTACTACTCCGTGGTAGAGTGGTTAGGTTACGAACTGTGGATTCTACGCCCCTGGATCGGTTCTCAATCTTGCCACATCGCTTTTTTCTTCTTTTCAAAATTTGCCACTGAAATTTTTTCCTTAAAAATGGAACAGTGGTTGAAGAGACTTACACTTTCATGGAAATTTGTTGATCAGAAATTTCAAGAGACTTGAAAATTTCATATAAATTTCAAGTAGAGACTTGATTCCGTATTTCATAGCAAATACACGTCGGTGTACGGGTCCTGTACGAATAGCAGCACTGTGTCAATGTAATGAAGCAACTGCATGTTGTTAATAACAGTGATCTTCCCATATTTTAAATGCAACACTGCTTTTAAAAGATAAATGGCAGACAGCCCTACTAACAAAAAATTTTCTATATTTATTTTTTTTAACAGGATCATTTTTTATTAAGCACTCAAAACATTCCTCTTTATAGTAAGCAATAAAATTTCTTACACTGGGACTTTCAGCGTCGCCTGTTGGTGAACAATACTTTTGCATTGTCTGTGTAATTTAAACTAAATGCACTGTTTTGCTTTTAGAAAGCTTCCAAATGTTTCCTATTTTTCTATCCAATAAAAAGTGCAGACTTGAACAAGTCATGTGGTTAACGAGTTGATGAGTTGCTTGATTACTGAATTTCTATGGATTTTCTCATACAAACTGTGTGGTATTCTATCAAACTCCATGGACATGCTATGGCATTCCATGAAACTGCATCGGTACTTCAGGGAACCCCATGGCATTCCATGGAACTCTACAATATTCCCTGGAATTCCATGGACCTCCAAGGAAACTCCATGGAATTTCATGGCATTCCATGGAACTCCATCACTACTTCATGGAACTCCGTGGAACTCCATGGCATACCATGGAATTCCATGGATACTCCATGAATACTCCATGGAACTCCATGGCATTCTATGGAACTCCATGGATACTCCATGGAAGTTCTGTGGAATTCCATGGATTTCCATCAATTTCCATGGAATTCCATGGATTTCCATAGATTTCCATGGATTTCCATGGATTTCCATGGAGGTATTTCACACGGGTAGCTTCAGCTTGCCCGAATGGCAAGCTGTAAAAATGATTTTCTTTGCACCCTGCAAGATTTGTTCAATCTATTACAGCAGTCCAGATTTCCAATAAGAAATTTGAATGACAGGTACATCTACCAGCAACAAGCATGTCTTCTCAGGGAAAGCAGAAATAGGGGAAGGGGGATACTTTTTCAAGACTTACGAAGAGGAGAATCTTCTCAACCTCCCCACTTAAAGTCACTAGTGAGGTCCTTCCCCCTCCACTGCCCCTACTTCTTATTCTAAGGTGATTTGTTGGACACAATCTCTGAGTAATAAGGCAAGGCTAGTCTCTCCAGTCCATTTTTGTACAGTAACTGAAAATGGCTCACACACTCTGAAGTGTGGTAGACAGTGATTTTTGGAGTCTAGCTCTCTCCTTTCAATATTTAATGTCAGAACCAAACCCACTACCTACAGCATTAACATGGCTTTATCCAGTTTGCATATTCAAAAAGAGATCAATGGAATCAGTTTTTTGGGGGTGTGATCGTTCTTATGTAGCTCACATGAACTAACACCAATATGCCTTGTGTACAATGTATTTGTCATTCTTTGAATGCTAGACAGTCCCACACGGCTGTATTTGAAACAACAGCTATTTTCTTTGATCTTTCAAACTGTTCCAGAACTCTCATAGTGATCAATGTTGCCAGACTTCACTTCTTACTAATTCTTGTGGTTTCTATATGATCATCACAATTATTATTGGGAAATTTTTCAGATAACTAGACATTACAAAATATTGCAGCAATGGAACTCTGATTACCGGTAGTATGTTAACCATGTTGTAGAGTGTTTTATTTCATGGCCAGTGGAATCAACTTAAGTCCAGATGTAGCACTGTTGAGTGAATTGACTTTCTGGCAAACCAACAGCCAGTGCCGTACATACATGTATAGGTGAAACTAAACCTCCGGTACGGTTAAGTCCGTCTGTAAGCCAGGGCTGAAATCTTTGTGCTTGGTCCCTAAAAGTGTACTAGGATTTGAGTATTGTATTGTGCCATGATTGGCCTGTTAAAAGCCAACTGTTTTTGATTAGCCAATTATTGAAGTGAAGGGGGAAATCAAAACATACCATATTTTTGATAATTTGTTGAGTCTGCCAGGGATCCATAACAAGGATTTTGCTGCTGCCTCGCAGACATTACTAGCAAGGGTGAGATTATGTCTGCGACACAGTACAGCAAACTGACTGCAACATATATCACAACATGTATCAAACAGTCATGATGTAAAAAAAAAAGAAATAATTATGTTAAACTATAACCCACAAAATAAGTGGTGACAGTCAGTGTTTTCAAGAGGTTTACTTTTTACTGGGGAAATTTTGGTGCTTTGGATTAATGGTTGTAGATTACAATGTGTACAAGAAGTGGTCGACAAACATAGAAATTTGACTTCATCTCTTGTAAACAAAGTAGTTTTCCCAGTCATATGCTCAGGAATGGGCATGGGTAAGGTCTTGGGGGAAAGGGAAGGGGCTGTGATTTGTATAGATTTGGTTCAGTGATGTTACGTATAATAGATTTGTTGTCGTGAAAGGTTTAAACCCAGAAGTCATTTCATAAGCAGGTTGGGTATGATCATCCGGATGAACCTAGTCCTTAATAGGACTGTTGTTGTTGTTGGCAGTGACTGATTTTTTTGACAACTTGTGCGGTAGTCATCTTCAGAGACAAAGTGAGACTTTGTATCACATCAGTTAATGGTATTAAACTTTGGTTATTGAACTGACTGGTCAGTTAAGTCAGGATGTTTTTGTTTGTTTGTCAGTTAAGCCGTAATGTTATTGGCTATGAAGACTCTTGATGTCATTGGTGTGATTCAATCCATCAGATTGTCATTTATAATAATAATCGTTATAATAATTTAATACTCACTTTCATACATTATTGTTTTCAGTTTTTGGTGGGTATAATGATATCACAGCCCTGTATTGTAAGCGCAGCCCACGGAACTTCAGTCCAGCCTTAATTGGTTATTTTTTTGCGGAGGTATTATTTATGAAAGGAATTGGAGTTGTTTTGGTAATACCATTGCTGAACAAAATCCCTGAATGGACAGACCTTACAATTGCCATTACTGGTGCCGTTGTAAGCATTGGATTTTATATCTTTCTTGCTTTTGCATCAAACAAATGGATGATGTTTGTTGGTGAGTTAAATGTGTGTGAGGTGGCTGTGTGACTGGTCCTGCAGGAAACAGTTAAGTTTGTTTCCCGTGAGTCGAGGGAAACACACAAATTGATGGGAACAAAATTAACTGTTTCCCCAAGGGATCAGTCTTTATAAAATGATTTGTTATAATTACAGATGGAAATTTCAAAGCTGGAAATTCATTTGTAAACCTCACTGTAACGGCGGTCGTTGGTCAACATTATTTTGTGGGTAACAGTACACTGTTACCCTCTGTCATCATAGAGTTTGCATTATTGCCCACTCAGAGATTTTGGTGGGAAACAGTTTCATTGTTAGATGTCATGTGACCTTGAAGTAACCAATGAGAGCACACGCTTTTAGGAAAAAATTTCCAGCTATAGAACAGTAATATTGGAAAATATTATGTTTATAAAGGGTTTTGTTTATTGTTTTGTCTTGCAATTGTCACTTAGATATTTACTGCATACTGCAGGTCTTTCTTTACCCTGCGAGTAGAGTCTTCTTCGATTTTCCTAGGAAGATGCTCGCAGGGTAGTCTTTCTTCATCATGGTCAAAACATCACGATATTTAAGCAATAAATGAAACCTGTTATATATACATTAACCACTATAAACAATATCTTTCATGAAAATATCCTGTTTTGTGACTTTAAATCTGCTTAAAGAAGATCATGTGACTGTAAGCTGCAAAGGGGCCTACTGATTGTTTAATACTTTTTCCAGGTGGATTAATTGCTGTGGGTAGTAGTATCCTACCTCCGTGTATGAGGTCCAAGTTGTCAAAACAAGTGGAACCATCTGAGCTGGGCAAGTGACAGTAGTTGAGCAAAATGATATTGTGTAGTACAAGAAAAAATCTATAGTCCCCTCCCCCTGGAGGGCAACAGAAATTCCTAGGGGAAGATTATTTTACGTAGACATAAATTTCATTGATAGTTTTTTACAGTTGTTTTTTTTTATGGCTTTTTTAATTGTTACGTCACTATCATTCATTTTGTCAATTATCACACAACAATGTTGTACTGTGCAACTCATCCCTAACACTATTCTTTTAGTACAGTGTATGTAATGTTTTTTTACGTTCTCCTCTGCTGATTGTAACCCTATACATCCTTAATGAGATAACTAAGGGAGAGGGAGTGGGGGGAGTTTATTTGCTATATTACAACCAATATTTCTTTGACTGATCTTGATTCACTGTGGTCCGTTAATAACACTAGTATCTTTTTCAATTTACATTTTGATGTTTTTTTCAGGTACAATGTTTGCTCTCACTGCATCATTAGAAGTTTTAGAGACTCTGTTAGCCTCTGTTATCTTCAACAATATTTACAGTGCTACAGTGGATTGGATGCCTGGGTTTTGTTACCTTTTGATGTCAGCAATAATCCTCATCCCAATAATCTTAATGATGTGAGTTGCATTTACAACACAAGTGAAATAATGATGATAATAATAATAATCATAGCTATAAGAAAATTCTCAAATCTGATTGGCTATCAACTGCCCTGATTTCAGCCTTAATAGGACAGTACGAGTCATGCCTAAGTAACTGCTTAGTACGCGCGCACTCAAATGGCTTTTTTTTCACTGCTGGTAAAAAAAATCTGTGGAATTTCTTGTGTTTTGATTTAAAAAAAGAGCCTTATATATCGCAAATTTTGTTAAAGTTATGATTAATTGGTAACAGAACTTCGTGTCGTCCAATTTGGTCAGTAATCATACTCGTGATTAAACAAATCGGACTCCTGCTACGTGGTCGTCCAATTTTGTTAATCACTTGTATGATTACACACCGAATTGGACTCCACTCAGTCCTGTTACCATTACTACTACTACTACTACTACTACTACTACTACTACTACTACTACTACTACTACTACTACTACTACTACTACTACTACTACTACTAATAATAATAATAGTACCAGAAAATAGTCATCATGGTCATCATCGTCATCAATCAAAGTTGCTGGAATGTGGGGTAGCAAGGCTAATTAACTGATCCCTGTGGACTGTAAGTGGACTAATAGAGTTGAAAGGGTTAAGTTTAGTATTAATTACCTTCTAGAGTTATAAAAACAGGTTTGATTTTCTAACTTGGTAATGCTGTTGCTCCTCCATTTTTAGCTGGTTGTACATCTTACAAAGACGTGATGATGCTTATTCAGCAATGGATGCTGTGGGCATATTATCAAGCTCAGAGCATTCTGTCAATTATGGATCTCCTAGTGAAGATCCACAAGCATAAAAAGGTTGCACTGCGGTGACGGCCAGTAGTTTGTTGCTAATTTTCTAGCCATAGGGAACCTTTGTGCCCAGCTATTAATATACATATGCATGTAATGTTTAACCCTTCAATAAACCCTAAGAGTGATCAGCATCAAATTTCTCCTTGTAATATCAATGCTTTGTAAAAACAGAGTGGTCAAAACAAACGAGAATTATGGACATGCATGATCATGTAAAACCTTCTCCCCACTACTTCTGTATGAATTGAATAGGGGCAACAAATGTGAATTCAAATTTTGATCTTAGGGTTTAAAGGGTTAATACTGCTATAATCAAACATAGAGGTCACAGAAAGAAGAGAACTGTTCAAGATAAAAAAATCTTGATTTTTTTTAAGTAGTAACATTAACCCATTGGCTCCTGGAGATTTTGCCGAAAAACGCGTTTTGCAGCTAGTCGAGTGGTTTTATGGTCACTGTCGGGTTATAAAGAGCTAAAACTTACCACAAACCGGTTTACAGGTCAAACACTCCGCGGCCTTCTGATCCAGATGCAAAATATCAGCTTGCGAAGTTCGGGCATGCGCAGAAAGCAAAATTTCGAGATAGTTTTTGGGTTTAAAAGTGACACAGCAGTCTTGACTAAAGCTTTTAGGATCTTAGGATTAGGTGAAAGGAAAGGTAGGTGGGTAATGGAACAAGATTTTCATGGAGATTTTCAGGTCAATGTCACGTGGGTTTTGCTTGTTTCTCCGGTGTCCTTGACTGAATTGTGCTCATTCTGTTATGGTTTGAAAGATCTCTTCACTCTGCACAAGTTAGCGAAGAAAGTTGTCCTTGACCGTTAAAACTGATGACGTCACAATGGGTAGAAAGGACCTGGATCCGCACGGGCGGTTCAGGGGCGAATGGGTTAATAATGCCATAAACAGGGACGAAACATTTTCAAATTTGAGAATATTGGTCTAGAAAAAACATTCATACTCGTGCATGCATCTCATTCTTGAGAAAAGAATGACAAAAGAGCACTGTAAAATAATGTCAAAAAAATTTTGTTATATGCCTCACAAACCTGTACCCCACTGATAATGTACAATAAATTTAATAATGTTTGAAGCTTATCAACCAGGGTTAACATTTTATGAAGAATAGTATACTAATTAAGTGATTTGTAAGCAAATGCTCTGCACATGCATTTCACGTTTTGGTGCATTTTTAAATCGTTCTTTGTTAAAAAACAATGTAACATTTCAGTGTTTACTGTTGTGCAGAACCATTACACACAATGGTTTGAGCAGTGATATGAGGCTAGATCCTGATTTATTTTGAAAGTTATGTCAAAATAACCCAAAGTTTGGAACATTTTGCAGTGTCGTTTAAAGAGAGTAAGACTCAATGAATGTACTGATCAAAGTCTATTTTCATGAGGCCTTCTCTGTGGCATTGGTACAGCAGCTCAAATACGTAAGAGATTTTTCTTTTTATTTTGAAATCGAGGCTGGTATACTGTAGTCACTTCATGTTAATCTTAAAAAAATGGATAAATGCATTATTAATTGAAACAAATTTGGATTGTGGACTCAGCAAACATGTGTACATAGAATAATAATAATAACAATAATAATAATAATATAATAAAAAAATATTATCCCACTCGTCATTCAGCATACAATCATAATGAAAACTTACATTGTGTTCATGCTCAGTTTTACTCACAACAGAGATAAGACAAAACTTTTTCAGTTGTATATCACTTGACAACTTAATCGTAACCTAGCATCACAGTTAGAAGCCCGGTAACTTGAACTCTGAAGGGAAACAAAAAACGGGAAATTTCAGTGAAATTTTGATCAAGGGAAAGGAAATTTTAGTTTGAGTTAGTGGAGAATTCCAGTTATCCAAGTTCGAGTTATTGAGGTTCTACTGTATTTTATTATGAAGACAAAATTTTATAGAGTAAAATTAGATCAAAGTTATTTTTGTTGATTAAATGGAAAGTGGGTCAAAGAATAAGTTTTTTTCAATAAAAAAATTCCATTCATATATTCTAGCTCATGACTTGTATATTTAAAGAAAGTAAAAGAAAACATTAATTTTTTGTTAATTGATTACAAGTAGTTTTAAAAATCATTTGAACAATAAAAATTACAAATGTTGTTGATTCTTGAAATGTTGTTAATGACCAGTGCCATACCTAGACCTCTTTCTCTCTATGAAAAATTTACATGCAAAGGAAGGTGGGAAGGAGAAAACGGGCAAGAGGTGCTTTGCCTTTTCCCAACCTATGGTCCCTTGCACTCTGTCACCAGTCACTCGTGTCATTTGCATTTCGCGCTTGCCTCCATGCAAAAAATGAAGCACTTGAGGAGGAGGCAGGTTAATGACCCTCCCCTCCCACTTATAGACAGTTCATGGAACGTTCTGCCTGAGGGGGGAGGGGGGTTCAAGGGGTTTGAGAGAGGTAAATTATTATTCTTTTCACAGTGGTTGCTGGTGGTTTACAAGCTCAATTTTTCCCATAGCTGTAAGAATCGCTTTATGATCATGAGGCAAGGAAAGGGTTTATGCTTTCAATCAAGCTCAACTCAAGTAAGTGCCAATGACCTGGGGGCAAGTAGCCTGTGAAAGCATCTGTTTTTTTAGGCTCAAGTTTCTTAGTTTTACCCGCCAAGAAAAACGGCGGGTGAAACTAGAAACTTGAGCCAAAAAAACAGATGCTCCTGCAGGCTAGGGGGCAAACAACTGGCACATAATAATACTGGTACTCGAGTCTTCAGAAATATTGCTCTTTTAAAGTTCCCCAATCCAGTGAGCAAAACCTACTGACCTGGAAATGTAATTTCGATGTTTTAATGACATTTAGTTTTCTGGGAGTGACTTTACTTGACCCGTGAAACAGAGAATAACCAGATGTAGTTAATTGATAACCGATAATTGATAGTAATTGATATCATCAATCATCAATGAATATAGATTTCCAATATAGATCGATAGAAATCGATAAAGAAAAAAAGGCTGTGATTCGATTAATATTGATGATTTTCCGATACAAAATCGATAATGATTTTTTATCGATTACTATCAATTCCCATTGATTGTTATTGATTTTTTAATTGAAAAATTGTTTTTTCTGTGACTTCGATTTCTAACAATTTCTGATATCAATAGATACTAATCGGTGGATTACATCGATTAATATCAATGATATCAATTGATTCTTGATATTGATTGTTATTGATTAACTACGTCTGGAGTATGGAAGTGTCATTATAGTCCTAGTAATGGCAATTACTCTTCCCCCAAACAACAAAAACAACTAAAAAATGTAACGTCATTTGAGGTAGGCAGCTAGTTTGAGTAGAGTAAATTATTGCATCAACAAAGTTTGAAAGAACATTTCTTTAATTCCTTCAGGTTAGGGAAAAGGAGTCAACTTTACTGTTGAGGGAGGTTTACTAGATTTTTTTTGGCCATTATACAATAATTAATGTCAGATCCCGAGGGAAAACAAAACTAACTGGTTTCCTGAGGGACCTGACATTAAGTGTTTTGTTATATTTCTAGACTTTCACTTCAACAGCAACAAGAGAATAACCAGAGCGAACCCAAACAGTCGACTCGGTACTAATAGCAACACAAATTTAATTCTCAAAACCACTGAATGAATGATTTACAAAGTACCTTCCTTATCTTATCTGCATTTATTTATTTTCCTCCACTAGCTGCTGTTTTTCTTCTGGGAACTTCTTGGATAACTGTAAAAATCGTTGCTTTTTAGCTTGAGACTTCTTGTTTGTGTTGTTGTGTTCTTCAGGAAAAAGAAAACTGGCTGGACCTGGCAGTGTTTTTCCTGCCTTTTGTCACGCCACTTTCCACCATGCTTTGATCATGTGCTGTAATGTAGCCCAAGCGGGGTACATTGCTTAATGTATCACGATCGGGATACATTTGATTTTAGTCAAGGTCACGTGACCAAGAATCAACCAATGGCAGTCCCTGTTTAGATGAGTGAAATTCTAGGAATATAACAATATTACTTATCAAAAGCACTGTCAGTTCTTAATAAAGCTTTTCTTAGAAATATAATGTGCACAAATTCAGCATTGCTACAAGTTAAACAAATCTGAAAAGTCACTGGTTTCATCACTCTTTTGGAAACAGTGTGGAAAATTTGCACAGGGAAACCAAAAAGGAATTATACGGCTGTCCAGCTGTGAGAGCCATTTGTTCCTTCTAGTGGACATGTGGTGTAACAAAGCATCTGAAATGTTTGCTAACAGTTCTCTGTAATCTGTGTTTGGTAAAGGTGTCTTCTCTTTGGGGTCGACCTCGACATTGAACAGCAGAGGAGGATCAAAGGACTCAACTGTTCCATCATCTACATCAAAATAAACAATAATTGAACAAATAATGATAAATAGTATCCTTTCCTGATGGGCATTTCCATAATATGGACAGTTCTGTTGGTCTCAAAAATACCCAATTTTAAACATTCCCTATAATAAGTATCATATATAGACCTTTCCCATACTCCACTCCAGTGAACAAACACAAAGAAATGAGGTTGAGACTTACGGTGGCAATTATCACCGGTGGCACTTGTACCTAAGCCTCAAGTTGTTGCCTTTGTTTGCAGCAATGTGGGAAAGGTCAATATTACATGTAATTAAGCAACTTATAAAGGCAAGTCTGTAATGTGGACACTTGGCTCTGATCTGTCCCAGTGTTTACAAATAAGTACAAGTATTTTATCAAAAAGTGTAAAACATCAAGACCCAAGTATGTTTGTCTATGTATACAAAAATGACAAGTTTCATTAATTTTGGATGACTAACGACTAATTTTATTTCTTTATTATTACCTTTGATGTCTGTGTAAACAACTTTATAAGATCCTGCTGTTATGGCAGATGGCTTGGTAACCTCAACGTAATGGAAAATATACTCATGTTGAGATTCTACCGATGTGTTGAACAAAACAGGCAACAAGCTTTTGCCATCTGACTGTAAAGCATCAGCACTATGGTTGAGTAATTCCAGCACAGTGGGCATAATATCCATGATGGTCACAGGTGTCTTTATAATTTGATTGGGTGTTATGTGTCCAGGCCATGTTATCACTGCTGGCACACAGATGGTTTGTTCCCAAACATCATTCTTATCGA